CATCAGAGCTCACTAATACAATATTGATAACAGTGTACCAATTCTATGGAAAATTCACAACCACTTTTACAAACTTTCTTCTTATGTCAATGTGTGCGATATCTTAATGAAAGGTTACTTCTAAGTATTGCTCTCTATTGCAGTACACTTTGCCATCAAAGACTGAAGTGTTTTGTAAACATACAGATAAAGAAATCTCTCTTATCAAATATAGATGAAGTGTTCTGGCTCTGAGGCCAAAAGAAAGACATTGTGTACTTCTATATTTATCTAAATAGAGTAAAAAGGGACTTGCGTGTATGTAGAGGGAGCATCTAGGCTTTGTAAGTTGGGCTGATGTGATTGCTGATTGGCTGTGGTTATTGTGTATGTGGGCTTCACATGTGCAAAATGCTCAATTATTGATAACAATTTGAGAGATGTTTAAAAATGTATTTGACCCTGCTGATTTAACATCTTAAGGATATGCTGGCATTGTGGGAAAATTCAGAGATGTTGAAAGTTATCCTATCAGGGGGACACATGATGCAAAAGTGTTTACTCCACACAATGGCTGTGATTCATTATGAATGAGAGGTGAAGTGTGTGTGTGTGTGTGTGTGTGTGTGTAGCTTGATGCAAACAAATATGTAAACAGTGGTGGACTCAAGTACTGTACAAATTTGAGGTACTTTACTTTACTTTTCTTTTCATGCCACTTTCTACTTTCTACTTCTACTACTTCTCAGAGGGAGGTGGTGTACGTTTTACTTTACTACATGTTCATAGTGTGTATGTTAGTGTTTTGACTATACTATTTATTGACTATGTATTTTATTATTATTTTATTATTGTGTTATGGTATTTTTGTATGAGTAAGCACATCGTGAACAATGTACAATCCTGAGTGTGTCCAATCCAATAAAGCTGATTCTGATTCTGATTCTGAACAGCTTTAGCAGTTAATTTACAAATTAAGCTTTTTACACACACAACATATGAAGAGTATATAAATACAAATAAATATAAATATATGACATTTTGTTATAAAATAAACTACACAACAGTGTATGCAGCTGAAACAATTAGTCAGTTGACAGAAAATTACTTGGCAGCTGTTTTGATGGTTTAAGTCATTTTTCATGCAAGCACATTTCATGGTTCCAGCTTCAAAAATGTGAATATTTGCTGCTTTTCCTTTTTATTATTTTAGTAATTAGAATCCAGTTTGAATAATATTGGGCTTTACACTGTTGATTATATTAAACAAACATTCTGAAGGTGTCACTTTTGGCTCTGGGTAATTGTGACAGCATTTCTCATTATTTTTTTAATCTTTACAATCAATCGATTAATGGAGAAAATAATCAGCTGATGAATTCAAATTGCAAATAACTATTAGTTACAGTCTATACAAAGAAGTTCAAAATGAGCTCCAGCTCAACCAACTTCAACAGTAAAATCCTGCTTACATTAATACATGAGTAATAATAATCTCATGATATAATACCGTATGTAATAGTATACCATTCACAGTGGACATTGTTCTGCATTGAGTACTTTTACTTTTAATACTTTAAGTGCATTTCCCTGAAGATGCTTGCATACTTTTACATAAGTAACATTTTCAATGCAGTACTTTAACTTATAAGTAGTATTTTTGCAGTCTGGTATTCTGAATACTTCGTCCACCACCGTATGTAAATGCTTGCTATCAAAAACCCTCCCGCTCTCATTGGCGATATGTTTCGATTAAGGGTAGTGCAATATATCATAAATTAAAAGTGTAGGACCATAGCTTTTCAAAAGTTAATTTAAAAAGTGAAATTAAAACACTGGGCAGAATAGTTTTGTCTGTGGATTTCAATTTAACACTGTGTGACATACCAACTAACTGCTGTAAACATGGATTGTTAAAGGATTAGCATTATCAGCATGCTCTTTTTTTTTTAGTAAACAATCTCATTATAACTTCTAAGTACGGAAAAAAAATAATTAAAAACAGCTAACAAATCTGCGACTCATCCTCTTTATCTGAATGCATGTTTACAATTAGCTTCCTGGTGTGAAACACAAAAGCACCAGCCTTTTGGGTTTTTGCTTCTATTCATCTGTGGAAAGTGCTGTGATGATTAATGGAACTTCACTACTGGTGGTACATTATTTATCTTTGTTCTCCACCTTTGTGTTCATCAGTGCTGCTGACAAGATTGTGACATGCAGTTATATCCTCATTAAATGTGGCTAGAGTCTGTGCACTGGTCCAAAGATAACTCACAGACACAGTTCAGGGATTATCACATAATGGCATTTCAATTTCCTTTCTCATTTTACAAGAGACCATTACCCAAACATGCTGCATTTAGGCAAAATAGTATTTATGATGGAGTGTAAACGGCCGCTGAATGGAGCTACAATCTGCTATTGAGCCCTAACTGGAGCTTAGCTTTTATTTGTTGGATTGAACAGTTCCTTAAATTAAATTCTGAAAAGAGTCCAGGCTTGTTATTCATGTAATCCAAGACAGTTAAGTCTTTCTTTGTGAATATGAGCCATTCCCGGAGAAGCTCCAGTGACAGTAAATTAAAGTCAGATATTGTGAACACAGCAAAAATGCCCTAGTGGCTTTTCCTGGATATTGGCACATACTACACAACTATTATTACTTCTATTTTAAAAAGCTAATTCCTAGAAAAACATTTCCACTGTCACATGGTGAACTTGTCTTTATTCATATAATGAAACACAGAAATTATTTAATACAATATACTATATTGTAAATATTAAATTTCATAGGATTATACAGCAGTATTAAATTCTTGTAATATACACAGCAGGATGGGTGTGTTATTGTTACATACTGGATGTAAGCCTGAACAAACACATTTAGGATTTTAGGAGCCTATCCATCATCATATAACACCATCTGTGTTGGCCAGGTTGCCTGGCTAATGGCTTTGTGAAGCCAGCCACACTAACATAAACTACTTGTTCTGTACCTTCATTTTGAGAAAGTTGATTGTTTGGACTTTATCTGTTTAAATGAGTAATTACAGTATAGATGACACAATAAATTTCCCATTTTTTATTATTTATATTTGGAATTTTAGGTGTGAGGCACTGATACAAAGATCCTACTTCATACTGAAGTCTGACACGTCTCAAATATATCTATATGTCTGTATGTCTCCCTGAAATGTCCAGGAGTACAGCATGTAAGTGTCTCTCTCTGAAATTCACAGTGAGCATACAGTAAATATCACATTCACTCACATTTATTAGCAAAAGACAGTTTTTAACAACAAATAAAAGCACTAACTCAAACCGTTAAGTAGGTCAAGTGACAGAGGAAAAATCTCTTCCAGTAAATAATTATATATTCCACAATTTAAGCCATTCCAAAGGGTGAATATTCTCTTTCTGTGTGTATATTTAGACAGATGCCATGATGAACTGCTGAACAAATTTGCCTGAAGGCCACTGAGGAGCTATCTATGCTGCTCTGAAATACTGACTGAGGTAATACATGATTCTGTCAATTAAACCTCAAACTAGGAACCCCAAGTCCATTATAGGGAGAGTCACAGTAGTTTGCCTTGCCTCACTACTTTGTCCCTTTCACATCAGTAGCTATATTTGGTTTGACCAAGTAAATTACATTTGCACACTGAGTGGCCTGATTTCTAATGATGCACTTTGAAGTTAAGAAGTGTTGGGACCACAAGCATGAAGAGGTGCTTTTTGTGGCTCCGTGTGTGTGTGTGTGTGTGTGTGTGTGTGTGTGTGTGTGTGTGTGTGTCTATCTGGTTCCCTACAATTTAGATTCCTCATTGTCTGTATCACAGTACTGAACAGACTACTGAAACACTGCCACATTGAATTGCTTCTATGTTTATAAGGGAACGTACATAGCATGTCATGACAGAATGATGGACCTTGTAGTGAAAGACATATCAGACCATTTCTCGCCCTCAGTAACAATGCACAAACATTTGTGCATGTAAAACCATCCATGTTTCAACATTGCACTAGTAATTTTGATACTTTCTCACATCTCCTTGCCAATACACTAGATGTTGTTGTGATTAATGAGGAGTCCAGTGAGGTGTTCGTTTTGGAGGTTGAATGCACCTTTGACTCTAGCATGGAGGAAGCTTTTATGACCAAGGTCATTAAATACCAGCCACTCCTAAACACCATCTCAGAACTAGGGTATAAGTGCAGACTACTTGTTTTAATATTTGGCAGCTTAGGACACACACACACAGGCAGGTCATAAGAGGGCTGAGGCCTGGGAAGTGTGCAATAACTTGGTGTTCTGCTTGTTGTTTTTTTGTATTTTATTTAATTTAATTTTTTATTTTATTATTTGTTTTAATCTTTTATTGGATGTGTCATGAGTGTGTATGTAGCCTACGTGTACGTCTTCAGCTGTTATTTGTATTTTATGTGTTTTTATCGTCTGTAAGGGCAGCTACTACTACTACACACACGACGCACTTTTGAGTCAATAAATTCTATTCTATTCTATTCTATTCTATTCTGTTTAAAAACTGGGGATTCCCAAAAAGAGGGCCAAATGGCTGGCAAAGGCCTGTCTGCTATTATCAGCAACCGACATGTTTGGCGGAGTTGCATCGACTTGTACCCATGAGAACTAAGTGATATACTTAGTATTGTGAAGATCTGTTTTGTATATGTATATATAAGTGTGTGTGTGTGTGTGTGTGTTTGTGTGTACAGTAGGCCTATGAGAAAGAGAGATGTAATTGTTTTTTAAATTATAAATGTTTTATTTATGTAGTTTTTTCTAATGAAAATGTATTGTGAAAATGTAGCTGAAGCATCATTATTTATGACAACGAAGATTTTAGAGACTACAGTGTTGTTTAAACTCTAGAAGTCAGTGGGATGTAAATGTTCGCTTTTTGTGTCAACCCTTTTGGTCCCTTCCCTTGACCGTAGTTCAAGCCCAGGTTGCTTAGTAACGCTTGCCAACCACAAACGCTGATGGTGGAGTGGTTACAGTTGGGTCCAGCGTTTCCTTTCACACAGGGTTAGTTATTTGTTAAAGAAAGTAATACGGACGGACGTATTGTTTTTTGAACAGCTTAGCAATGTTGTATTTTTGTTGACTTAAGTTAGCTTAAACTGTCCGTCATTGCGTTAACGTTAATTAGTTTTACTCTAGCTGGCTAACAGACGCAACTCATTATTAAACGTCTATTTATATACCCGTGTATAACGTTATATCTATCATTAAACGTGTTAGCAAGTTAACATGGACCTGGATATTCGTCACTATCTAACCAAGGCAAAGGAGCAGCACGGTTTGTAATTCAGGAACAATTACGCTTCTGATGATTTGTGAAAGTACGCATTGATTGTGTTTAACGACATGTAATTTATGTAGACTTCGGAGCTCTGCAGTCAGCCTACAGTTTAATCAAGAACACGACAGCAGCTGGAACAAGCGGACGGCCTCCACGCTTTGCCCTAGAGTTGTATGTCGTGTGCGCGGAAGCAGCTCTGCAGGTGAGGCTGAGGCCGGGATGCATGACGGTAACGTGCCTGTTGATGTAAAGTAGACTTGGTCAGTATTCTGTCAGCAGGGTCGAAGCAAGAGGTCAGGACATACTGAGATCATGAGCTTTACTGCCCAACACTTAACAGGGACTGGTTTTGTCTGGTCTGTGTGACAAACAAATAGCAAACTAGGAAGCCTACCAGATTGTAATTATTAATTAAAGGTAGGCATGTTATATCAAGTTTAAGAACTAATTCTCACTTCCAATTAACTCTAAACTGCACCTTACTGTAGGTACTGCAAGTATTAATCATAATTATTATGTGAAAATACTCAGATTTCCCTGTCTTATCTCATGCCAGATTAATTTGTTTTCCAAAAGTGAATACTGAATACTAGTTAAATGAAGATAAATAGACTATATTTCATACAATTCATTTGATAGAGTTAGAAATTCTGTTACCAGGACGACCCATGTAGGTGTACACACATCAGCCTACAGTCAGCATCAGACTCTGATGCTGAAATCGTCTGTATGAAAGAGAAAACACATGCTCTGAATGTGCCTGCAACCTTGCCTTCCTGTGCTGTGTGGAGTGTTTTCATGTTGCGAGGAGTTCATGACTGCTGAGATGTCACATAAGACACGATGCTTCAAGCTGCCTCCAAGAATGAAAGATTTGCATCCGACTGTGAAAAATGTGGAGCGCATTTATATTAGTAAATGCTTGCTACTGTGATGATATGTAAGCATCTTTTTCTGTGGAAGTTCATGAATTATTACTGACATTAGTGGCATGTAGAGAGGATGTATTGGGTTTGAGTAAATAAATCATGGTTTTGGTTGATTAACACAGAGGCTGTTGGTGACAGTATCTACAGGTACTGATATAGGAAATCATGGAAATAAAAAAGTCTGCAGGGCCCCCTCTGCTAGAAGAGTCTTATCACAGATTTCCTTATGTCACTGTTTTTGTACAGTAACTTTAGTTAGCTAAATCTGACTATTCTCTCAGTATGGGATAATAATGAAAATTCACTAATATAGGTTGAATTGTCCTAGGGCAAGGGAAGCATATTTGAATAATGAAACAGTTATATTCCATAATGTGATTTGTTCTTTCTTTTTTATATCATGAAACCAAGCTTTTTCTGTGAAAATGAAGTGTGCCTTGATGTCTCAGGCTTAAGTGAATACTGAATTAGTCCTCATCCACAGCAGAACTACATCACATATTCTTCAGTTTTCTAGAGAAGCATGAAATCCTGTTGCATGAAAACATGATAGATATGATGACCTTCCTGGTATTCATACTATCGAAGACATTTTCTAACACAAGATCAAGTGTCCATTACTGTTAAGTTTCAGTTGTTGCATGAGAAAAAATGTAATACTTATTTTATACAGACCATATACCATTAAAAAGTATATGGTCTTATGGTATTTTCTGTTACAAGGTTATCTCCCCTGTCAGTACTGCAATTCCTTGAATGAAAACTACCCTGGGTGAATTTATCTCACAATTAACAGGAGACAGTATATAACACAGTACTGACATTCTCATGGGCAACAGCCTGCAGTTGTCATGCATAAAATAAATGTACACCACATATACATTAAGCCATTTCTAAATTAAACAAATATGGAAAAATGCAGATAAGCTATAAAAATGTATTTTGTTTGGCATTTGTGCGTCTCCTTTTCTGTGTTTTCAGCTTGGTTGTCTAGAGATAAGCACAGTGTGTCTAAAGATGTACTTTGAAAGGAATCCGCCAGCGAATCAATTTTTATGTCGAGCCTACCTCTGCCAGGGCCAGCTGAAGACTCCGCCGGCCACTGGAAGTGTGGTGAGGACAGTAAATTGGACACATCTTGTCAATGGGGTTGTGTGTATTTGTGTCTCTTTACAAATGAGTCACACACACACACACACACACACACACACGCACACACACATACACACACCATTTCTGTAGAGATATATTGAACTTACTTGCACTAAAATTGGAGCAGGTGTCGTAGCTTCATAAACAACTACTTTTTTTCACAATGTGATTCTTCAAGATTGCCCTTTGTCTTTCACAGTTTAGTGTAGTTTAAAGTTTTAATTAGTATTTTATCAAACTGTGGCGTTTACTGAATGGTTGGTTTATCTGATCGTTGTAAGTTTGTATGATGTGACAAGTTCTCATTTCCTCTTTTGCAATATTTTCTATTTTAGGAAGACTTTGAAGAGGCTGTGCTGGATTTTCTTAAAGCAATTGAAATTTCAAAATCTGAACCAAGGTATGGAATCTCTCAGAAGTGTGCTTGGCTATGTTCTAACGGTTTATCATCTCTGATATTGTTTGGCATTTGCCACTGTAGTGCTAAGGTGCATCTGTAGAAACACATAGTTTAAAGAAAGAAAGTAAAATAGTGTGTGATATTCAGCATGTATTCTTTCAAGCAGCTGACTGGAAGTATCTGTGAGCAGGGTGAAAAGGATGATAAATATACATGTAATAAATAGAACTTAGAAATTATAAGGTCCCCTGTTCCTTACTCTGAGAGATGTGTTTGGAGATAGCTGCTTAGCCTTTGCAAGAAATCAGCACTGAATCCATTTGCTAATGAACTCATAACCTGTCAATAAAAGGGCTGAATGAGCAGTCCAAATTAACACCAATGGGAATACATATCTCATACACCCACCCCAGACTAATGCGCAACACACTCTCTGGTGAATAAATTAGTAGCGCTCAAACAGTGTGTTCACACAATTTTCTCTAAAACGGCAACTTGAATTCATAAATTTCGCTTATTTCACATAAAAAGCTTATACAGGGCGCTCTCTGGAGGCTCATTGGACGATGGCTAATCCACATACATTTGCAATTCACAGGACTTGGACTTGGAAGAAATGGCTTGCATGTGCATCACATCAATAATTCAGTGTTCTCTGTTTACCTCTTACACATGTGGTTTGTTTCTTACAGATACTACTTCATAGTGTTCAATGCGTCAGTGCTGTACTTCCAGACAGTGCGTCCTCTCCTGCAGCCAGGGCGGTGCCACAACCTCGTCCCCTCCCTTAGGCAGGTGGTCCAAAGTCTGGAGGAGGTGGCAGACCAGGACCACAGCTGGAGGGCTGAGCTCATGATGCAAGTGACCCAGCAATGCTCTCTTACTTCTCTTTCATGAATAAATTCTGCCCTGATTTTGTCCATTCTCATGCTGGATTCATGGGGATGTCGTATAGAGCTAATTAACCAGCAGTTCATTTGTTGCCTTATTCTCCTCTATGGAGTGAGGAATCTGTTCTAATGTAAGCTGTTTTTTCATGTTCAGCCACGACACATCAGGCCCAAATGTTATCTTAGTTCGGAGGACATTATGTGCTGTTCATGTACAGTGTAATGTCAGTGATACAGCCAGCCATGGTGTTACAGTTTTTCTCCATTGCTTAAACACTATAACCAGGCTTTTGAACTAAAATTTCAAAACCATAACTCAATTTTTCAAAAAGCAAACCCATTTCCTTAAACTCTACACACAAATCCCTTCATTTCTCATTGCCTACACCATGTGGTCATTGAGTAAACACTGACATTCAATATTGTCCACTCAATCAGCACAGGTTGAGCTCAGTTAGCACTGAGTCAAAATTGATAACACACCACTCAGAACCTTCAATAGATAGATAAAAGGTCAGTTCAGTCTTGGAACAGTGGATCCAGAGAAATCTGAAGGAAGAGGTGTAGGACACCAGAGAGGAGGAAGAGGTGAAGGAAGAGGAAGGAAGTGGAAGAGTTAGATGGAGTAGGAGGAGGGAGAAGGATGAGGTGAACAAGGAGGTGGAGGAGGTAGATGGAGGAGGTGGAGAACAAGAATCTCTGGCCTGTCCCAGACCAAAGACAGGACGCTGTTGTTTGGTGTGTTGTACAGTACAGTAAGGAATAAAATAAATGTGTGCAAATGTGCAAATGTTTTCATGTGTTATATCTTTTGTGTTCATCATGTGAAACAGTTTTTGAGGGGGAGAACCACAAGCAACATTACTTATAATCATTTTGTAGTATTGTTTTGAATTTATCTCACCAGTGTGTAAGACTGTGTTGTAGTGTGTGTGTTTTTGAGGGCTTGTGTGTTATGTCTAAGTGCAAAGTTTGGTATATCAGCAAGATTGAATGTTTTTGAGTGGAGAGCTTCATTTTGACCTGAAAATAGGATGTTTGGGGACTTGGTTGAGGAGTTGTGGATTTGTGTTTAGAGTTTCGAGAAAAAGAGGCAAAATTTCATGTGTTTAAGCAATTGAGAAAAACTGTGTGTAATAAACTGGGTACAGTATATCTGAAATAATCATTGCTTCAGGTGTTACCCAGATAAGGTGGATAAAAATGCAGTGCAATTCTTCTAGACTACAGTGTCAACAAAAACGGAACATTACAAGCTTCATAAAGCAAGAGCTGTTTATTTACTGTTTGTTTATATTGGATTGTTTGCAAAACACTGTTCTTTCAGAGTGAAATATTATCGGTTTCTATTCAGGCACCTGATCAAATGTATTGTGGACTCTGGGAAAACAGAGGATGCTGCACGCTTTGCCAAAGTTACAGAAGAATTCATCAAGTCACATACCCCACATCTTTTTCCGAGACTATTTACATTACTGGTAAACAGCATTTCTGTCTTACTTAACTAAAAGGATAAAGATTTAAGATTTTTGTTGCAATATATATATATATATATTTGAATGACTTCTACCTTTACTCTTCTTTCCTTAGGTACATCACAAGCTGACAGAGGGTGATGTCCTCATTGACATGAGCAGGCAGTCTCCTACCTTAGCAGTCATTTACAAAATACAAGATTTTAAACAGTAAGCACATTTTCTGTGTTATATTTAAGGTAAAGGTTTGTTTTCTTCTGCTCTGAAATTGCTGGAGGATTTATTTTGCAGAAAGCATTGTTTTTGTGCAGTCATGATCATCATGTGCTGTCATCAAGTTGTACTGTAACTGTAGTTGTCCAAGAAATGAAGCCTTTTGTTTGCTTTGTTAACAGTTGTGGAGGCAACGTTGTGTTTGAAAAAGTATGCATTATTTATTAATTGCATTTTTTCTTTTTTTGAAAGCTTCTTGCTAAAAATAGACGCAAATTCAATTCTTTCTCAGTTATGATCTTACGTTCTGTATTAGTAACCTGCAAAGTGTATTTTAAATAGATACAATGTTTTCTTAAGATGCAGGACTTGCAGAGGGATATTGATGCGTTTTTGATCCTGAAACTAACTTAGAAGCTCTTCAAACATAAAATCTGATCCACTGGCTCTCACGTTAGCCTGTGGCGTCACATAGTGGGCAGGTTTTTCTGGCTGCCCGTATACATTAACAGTATAGTACCATAGCTTCTGGTGTGGCATAGCACAAACTCAGTCCCATCCCCCACCCCCTTTCTGCAGGGATGTACTCAACATGTCAGAGCTCTTTATGGCTCTGCAGCTCAGCTATAAACAACGACAGCATGAGTCAGTCTGACCCAGTCATCACCAGCATCAAAGAGGTTATTTTGGTTATTTGGTGTGATTTATAAGAGGGTGAATGGAAATACAGATGCATGCATAGTGTTGGATGCATAAGTGTTTGTATATAAATGTGCATGTTTTCTGTAGCAGGTTGGAAGAAATAAATGAGGATGAGCCAACAAAAGCGGAGCTTGCGCAGATTTTTCATCTCCTGGTGGATTGTACTGAAGTATCCGCTACACCTGTGAACTCCAGCCCTCTTCAGAGGCCAACACCCATCGAACCAGCGGACAGGTCTGTGACCTAAAGTGTCCTAAACAAATCTCCTACCCAACAATCGTACCTTTGTTTCCCACTACAGTAAAACCACATACAGTATGGATATCCCAAGGTCAGTACATGGCTGTACTGAAGTGTTGTGAATTGTATAAATTATGTTTTATCTGGGATTTGCAGAGTTGCCTTCCTACTGGAGTTGGCTCTGCTGGCCTTGCAAATGAAGCATCAGAAAGTTGCTGCCAACTGTTTGAAAGAGCTGAAGTCGGTGGGAGACGCTGTGAGTGTCAGCTATACTCTTGGAAATTTAGGCAGTAGTGTGGCTCCATGCTGTAGCTGTACATATTATAGAAACATGCAAATTTATGCATGATTTGACATCCCCTCTTAAGTGAACACTTGACAGTAGATGAGATTAATTAGCTGAGCTCATGCCCGAGAGGTTGCTGCATTTTTAATTACTTTCACCAAAGTAGAATGTATTTCATAGAAAGGTGTAAAAAAATTTCATAAATGTGCCCTTTTTGCTTTTACATACTTTGTGAATTAAGTGAAATCATAACATACTTAGGAACACTGCCTGAGCTTTAAAACTTTAAATGAAATATGTGTCATCTCTCTCATCTCTGTCTCCAGTGCACTGCTGAACCTCTTGGAATCACATGTGTATTTGTCTTTTTAGAGTGTTGGCCAACGCATAATAATGGAATGTGTCAACTGTGAAATCAACCTCCTGAAGCGAGAGGCGACGATGAATAACTATTCCAAAGCCAGTGTGGAGGTGCACGACCATATGCCTGACTAATCAACCATGTATTTCTGCCGCATGTTATAATGCAGGCAGAAAATATTACTTTCTGTAATCTCATTCTATGTTTAAATATAGAACTCCCCTTCCCTTGAATAGGTGTCCCTGCTTTAAGGAACTGCTAACCCACCTAAAAGCGCTTCATTAGTTTGAGTTTCAGTGGAAAATTTTAATTATATATCTTATAAACACCCTAGTATATTCAGGAGTTTTTCCACCGAAGAAAAACAATTCTTGAGGGAAGTAGGATCATGTAATCTCATTTGGTAAAACTGTCACATTTAAAAATTGGCACCACATATTCAGTCCAATTCAATCCAAGTATATTTGCCAAGTGATAGACGTGTTTTGCTGTCATTGCTATAGGAGAGCAAGATAGATGTAGATGTTATCCCACAGGCACGTCTGAAGGAGATAGGCAAGCTGGATCAGTTGCTGCAGACTGCAGTAAGCGAAGGGGAACCTCAGGCCATGCAGGCAGTGTGTGCTACCCAGTGGAGCTTCTGCCTGCCCCTCCTGCAGCACAACCTTAGGAAACGCATCAAGACACCTCTGCTCAGTGTGGCCCAAGTACTGGAAGACATGCAAAGGTTTCCAACTTCTTTAAATGCATCATGATACATGGCTACTGTGTATGTATTAGGGCTTTTTAGTAGTTTTTTATTGTTGTGTTTGCATGTCATTTAACATGTTTGGCTGTGCTCTATGGCTTAGTTACAGATATTGACAGACAAACAGGTTGTGGCCTAATTCAACATTCATGTCCATAAATACAGTATAGAGCATGGTATCAGCATGATCTGATATATTATAGCTCAGATTTTGTTTCAATATGATAATGTATAGTTTGGTTTTACAGTTTTTCCCAACTGCTTACACACGTTTTCAAAACTCTACACACAGTTCCCCAAACTGCGCAAAATGCCTCATATGTCCTTAAAAATGAAACACTGTATTCAAAATGCCATAAACACATTCCAAAATGAAGCATTTGCATCAGATGGCAAACACTTTTTCCATAATAGTAAGTTCTTTGATATACCATTTACAGGCTGTTCTAAATCTAAAGCTCCTTTGTCTTTCATAGGCTTCTGTGTACATTTCCATTCAATGTTTTACAGTGTAAGTTATCTGCTAAGAGGTTCTGAGAAGTACACTGTAAACACCAAATGCAATGTTGAAACAGCAAATATTTATTTGGCAAAACATTACAGTTGTAACAGTAGCACAGTGTTGTATACAGTATCATACAAGAAAAGCAAACCATAAACATATGTAAACCAAAAGTAAAATTCTTACTTTTATTGCAAAAAATACTTATTTTACAATACTGTACTGCTGAAATACCATTAGATTGTTGCAACCTGTTCTAATTTCTGAAGGTTCAAATTATGGATGCCACTGTAAAGCGACTCAAGTTGGGCGGGACTCTCAGTCCACCTTCTTTCATTGTCGACCTGTGTGACCCCAAACTCATCAGTGATCGCTCTCCTTCCTCTTCTTTGCCCTCCTCCTCTTCCATATCTCCTCCTTGAACTTTGTCCTCGTTGTCGTACATGGCCTCTCCCTCCTACTCCCCTTGCTCTTTGTCCATTGTTGCCATCCATTGTTCAAATTGTTTAATCTGACCTTTGACCTATTTATAGGTCTACTGTATACTAAAGCAGTTATTGGTTAGTGATCAGTTAAGCAGTTAGTGTTTGCACATGTGAGGAGTGGGTGTGTGTACTGGTGAATAAGTGTAGCATTTTGATTGGTTGTGTTTGGAAAAGGAAAGCAGGTCACTTCCTGTTAGATTTTTGTGTCTTAGGTAGAGTATTGTGTGAAGTGTTTTGAATAAAAGTGTTTTATGCAATTGAAAAGTGAGTGAAAGGCTGAGAAAGAGTTAATGGTTTTAGAGATGTTTGAGATGAGGTTTTGGTCTTGAGTGAGGGGTTTCAAACATCGTGTGACATGTAAAGATTTTGTGTGTAAGCAGTTGGAAAAAACTGCAATGGTAATGCAGACTGATCGACACGCACCATCGATATATTTTCTACAGCTACATATACATTTTTACAATGATTACTTTCAAGGTACGAGGAAAAACACTTTGTCTTGCAGTATATGTATATGTCTTAGATCTGAAAGAAAAATGCTATCATGATATCAGTAACTTTTTTGTCAACTTTCTTTCGCTGTGGTCTTTTGTTACTTTATTTACTGAGAGCCAACATTTAGATATTCTTTAATTATTTATCAGTAGCATCTCCAAATGTTGAACTTTTGTATTAGACCTACAGATGTGTTCCTTTGATATAGATTAGTTTATGCTGGAAGTGTTTGTGTGTTATGTTCACAGTATGTTGCTAGAGATGCGCTGTCAAGTCCATTCAGAGCTGGCAGTGATTGAAGAGGAGGAGGGGCACCTTGAGGCTTCTTTGAGTCAGCTCCAGAAAGCCATGCGGCTGGATAACGGGACACAACGAGAACGCCTGTCGTCAGCTTTTCACCTCCTACAGCTCAGAGGGACCCTCTACCAAACGCCCTCCCGGACTGAGGATGAAGCCGCTATGCTTATGCAGCAGGTTTTCAGTCCATTTGTGTCAGACACATGTACATTACAAAATGTGACAGTTCTTAGCATACTTGGGCATTCAGACATACAGTAGGTACAGTAAAGGAGAAGAGCATCCTATCCCCCTAGAAGTAGGATAAGATAGAAATAGTAAGATAGAAATTCATTGTTTAATGTCACAGAGGAGAATATGCCTGTAAGTAAACTGCATGGCTACAAGTTAACATCCAGTTTGATATCCAACCCCTTCTTTTTCTCAGGCCAGGGACATGCAGCCGCAAGATAAGACAGACTGTCGTCCCATCCTGATCGCTGTGGGTCTCCTTTTGGCCCCTGATGATTTCCAGATTGTGCTGGATGCAGACGACACCTCCAAAAGTACAGATTTCTCTTCCTTGCTTTCAGTTTTCACTAAGGCTCCATTTTCTTAAGACATCTCTGTTTTGCAAGAATTTGCTTTCTTGAAGGGATAGCTTGAAACACACGTCCATATTTACTAAGTCTTATGTATCTGCACCAGGAATCACACCATCACTCATTAAACATTTGTAAGCTGTATGATATGTCTTAGGGTATATTCTGAAGGCACTTTTCTCCTTTATGTATATACAGTGGGGGAAAAAAGTATTTGACCCCTTGCTGATTTTCCAGGTTTGCCCACTTACAAAGAATGCAACAATCTACAATTTTAATCATATGTACATTCTAACAGTGAAAGACAGAATCCCAAAGAAAATTCCAGAAAATCACATCATATGAATTTATAAAAATTGATAACCATCTGATGAGGAAAAACAAGTATATGACCCCCTGGACAAACAGCAAGTATTCTGGCTCCTACAAGCCAGTTAGTCTTTCTTTAAGACACAGCCCAATCCCAACCAATTATCTACATCAAATACACCTGCCTCACCTCGTTACCTGTATAAAAGACACCTGTCAACACCCAAACAACCAGCATCCAACATCAGCACCATGGGCAAGACCAAAGAGCTTTCTACGGACATCAGGGACAAGATTGTTGATCTGCACAAGGCTGGGATGGGCTACAAGAGAATCGGAAAGCAACTTGGAGAGAAAAGATCAACTGTCGGTGCAGTTATCAGGAAATGGAAGAAGCACCACACCACCGCCAACCTCCCTCGGTCTGGGCCTCCACACAAGATCTCGCCTCGTGGGGTGTCCCTGATCATGCGAACGGTGAGGAATCATCCCAAAACCACAAGGGGGAACTGATGAATCAACTGAAGGCAGCTGGGACCACAGTTACAAAAGAAACGGTTGGTAACACACTACGCCGTCATGGATTGAAATCCTGCAGCGCACGCAAGGTCCCCCTGCTCAAGAAGAAACATGTACAGGCCCGCATGAAGTTCGCCATTCACCACCTGGACGACTCAGAAGAGGCCTGGAAGAAGGTGATGTGGTCAGATGAGACCAAAATAGAACTTTTTGGCCTCAACTCAACTCGTCGTGTTTGGAGGGCAAAGAACACCGAGTACAACCCAAAGAACACCATCCCCACCGTCAAGCATGGTGGTGGCAACATCATGCTTTGGGGGTGCTTTTCAGCCAAGGGGACGGGACAACTCCATCGTATTGAGGGGAGGATGGACGGGGCCATGTATCGTGGAATTCTGGACCAACATCTCCTTCCCTCAGTGAGAGAGCTGAAGATGGGTCGAGGATGGGTGTTTCAGCACGACAACGACCCTAAGCACACCGCCAAAGCAACAAAAGAGTGGCTGAAGAAGAAGCACATCAAGGTTCTGGAGTGGCCTAGCCAGTCTCCAGACCTGAATCCAATTGAAAATCTTTGGAGGGAGCTTAAAATTCGAGTTGCCAGGCGACAACCTTGGAACCTGAATGATTTGGAGGCTGTCTGCAGGGAGGAGTGGGCCAACATCCCTGCCGAAATGTGCACAAACCTTGTCACCAACTATAAAAACCGTTTGACATCTGTGCTGGCCAATAATGGCTTTTCTACAAAATATTAACATGCTGTTTGTCCAGGGGGTCAAATACTTGTTTTTCCTCATCAGATGGTTATCAATTTTTATAAATTCATATGATGTGATTTTCTGGAATTTTCTTTGGGATTCTGTCTTTCACTGTTAGAATGTACATATGATTAAAATTATAGATTGTTGCATTCTTTGTAAGTGGGCAAACCTGCAAAATCAGCAAGGGGTCAAATACTTATTTCCCCCACTGTACGCTTAACAGAGAAAGGAGAAGATCTGACTTTTTATAGCATTAAACAATGTGGAGGCTAGGCGCTCATTATACTTTTCTAACTTTACACCTGGTCAACAGTAAAATGACTTTGTCATGGTATTCTTTTGATAAGGCATTTACAGTGTTACATTTTCTCTACCATCCTTCTTCTCCGTTCTGAGCTTCTGCTGAACCTGCAGCTCGATCTCACTTAGCTCTCTCACTTTCTCAGCTTTCTCTGCACTTTGTTGTGGCTATGGTACACCGTATTCTGTGGGTGTTTTTTTTTTTTTTTCCAATTTCTTTGAAGTTCATTTAATGAGTTGTTGCATTAATAATATAAACAGTCTTACCGATCAGGACATATTATTAATTATTAAAAATAAAACATTTATCTGAGGTGTTAACTGTGGCATACCTAAATGTTTAAGAATCCTGTAATGAGTTTGTCAATGCGGCAAGGTTCTCCTTTACTTGCAGAATGCACCTGGAAGGCAGTCCTCTGTGCTAATTGGGTAATGAGCAGCTGTCTCAGTAAAGCAGGCACTGATTACAGGCAGATTGAGAATGCATACTGAATGAACGTCACAGAGCAAAATTAGTGTGCGTGGTCTTGTTTGTAAATGTGTCCCCCGGTCTTTTAGTCTGGACAGAAGTTCTTTTAGTGGAAGCATTAAACTTTGCTGCTAGGTTGTGTACAGTTTCTCTGAGAATCTGGTGTGTTCCTGTGTAGCTCACAGCGAAGCCCCATCAGCTGAGTGCAGCAGCTCGTGGAGCAGAAGGGCCTGAGCTCGAGCAGAGCCTTTGATCTCAGAGTCATTCCAGGCTCCTTGGTCCACAGCATCAAATGAACATTCAGCAGTCCTAATGACCCAGGGAAGAATTCACCTCTAAAAGCGAGTCAAAGGGCTTCTACTGCAGGCTTGGGTTAAAAGCTTTGGTCTATAGAGGCACCTCTTGTTTTTGTCTATAAACCTCAAGAATCCCCTAGATGACGACACTTAAGCATTGGGTTCTGAGCTTCAAAGCCAGCTCACCAAGTAACCCTTGAGACAAGAAGAATTAATTAATTGCAGCATGTAATGTTGCCACAGTTTTGTATTGTTGCTCAATGTGAGGTGTGTGTATGAGAGAGTTGAGAGAGTGTGTGTATCTACTCAGGGGTATGTTGCTTCTTTGAAACACTGCACTCAAAGTCACAGACTTCTTTGTATAATTCAATCCATCAATCCATAAACAACATCCCTGTCTTTGTTTTTTTTTTTGAGTGGGGAGGTGTTGGTATGGTTTTGTGGTGTTTGTCCAACATATCTAATCTAATCATTATGTCTTTATACGGAGAACATTCTCACTATGCATGTGAATGCTCATTTATACCATGTTCTATGAAGTAGAGACAGAATGACAAGACTATGTGCAAACTAGCCGGATTGTATTTATGATTGATTACAGAAGCTTTTCCAACAGCATTAATAAAGTTTGACTTTTTATTCAGTACTCCAACAATTGTCTATTTCCCGTAGGCAGTTTTGGATCTGGACCAGTGGCACAGCTCTTTGCTAAGGCTCAGCATCACTCTACATCTGTTCAAAAGATGGATGGACACCTGGCCAGACAAGGAGATGACAAAGACAACACAGAGAGGTGTGTGTGTTTGTTTGTATGTATATTCTCCTTGCCTTGTCTTCTTGCCAGTGTTAAGTTTTCTTAGTAATTATTTTTAGCTGTCAGACATCCCAGAAACCCAGTTGGAAAATATAATTAGCCTTTTATGCCTTGTTGAATGTATTACTCCTTGCTTTTACTAAACATAAGATAAGATAATATTGAATGTGTGATGAATTAGTCCTCTGCAGTTAAAGTTGTGTGACTGCAACCTTCAATTACATCTCCTTATTCATAGCACATAGTTTAGATCCCTCTGTCTACCGATATCATTACAGTAGAAAAGTGTGCACATCAAAAATGTCAGGCTTAATCGTTGGGAGAGAGCAGAGTCATCAGTACTTGAGTACTTGAGTCCCCAAAGGAAACGTTTATTATTCATGCATCAAAAAAACAACTTTAGATCTTATACAGTGTGCTGCTGTGCCCTTGCCTTCACCTCCACCTTTTAAAAAGGAAGATATCTCTTAAGTTGTCTTTGTATCTTGGCTGTTCCAGGGTAAAGTTGTGGGCAACACTGGCAAAAACAGCCAGGAAACAGGAAATGTGGGATGTGTGCCGAGCTGCTTGTCGATTCTGTCTGCTTTACGATGATGGGAGGTGGAAGATTTCCAAGACTGACAGTAAGATGATGAATGATCCTTAGACTGGCGGTAAAATGAGAGAAATTCTCTTAAAACTGTGGGAGAAGGTATTAGAATATTAGAATGAATAAAGAGAACCCAAACGCTTAGATATTCAGTATAACTAATGTGTGATAGAACTGCTCTGTTACTGGTGCAGTATGATAAAATTACTGATAACATGACATATGACATCATTTGGTTAGAAGTATTCCATATGAAAAGACAGGTGAAGAGGAAGCAGTAATAGTAGTAGTAGGAGTTGTTGGAATACTGTTAAATACAAAATTGCTGTCACTTACAGGATTCACATCACACATTTTGTCTACTTGATCCAGAATGTAGATGCTCAGAAGAAGAAAGCTGTGCAGAATGTCACGATTGCAATGGAAGTCAAACCTGTGTGAAGGACTTGCTGCGCCTTTTAGCTGAAATTCACTTCATCAGTGCTGAGGTGTGTGCTTACAGGCTCATGCCTCCTAAACCTGGACACACATACACACTTCTCATATATTCTTACAGTAGTAATACACAAAAACAGGTTTCACACTACTGTATATACACTGCAAGACTTTTGGCTGTTTTCACCCAACTGCATTTTATTTTAATTTGTTTGTTGTTGATCCATCATCGGTTAAAGTTCTAATCCCACAAATTTCAGTCCTGGTTGATTTGGCAAAACAGCAAGTGTTGTTTAATAATATAGCAAACACTTGTTGAGTAGCTAGTTAAGTCAATAATAAATGCAACAGTGCAGCTACAGGACACAGTAAAGGTGGTTGCCCTGCTGATGAGCTGGAGATGCGCTGCCTGTCACCTGCAGCTCTTCGCCTAACAGCTGTCTGTGGCTGCTTCTTCTTGTTCCATTACTCCCTACAATGACAATGTTTAACAGATGCTTTTTGATGTAAAATCTTGGTCAGTGCTAATAGCGGTAACAAATACATAGCTTTTCCCATGTGGTTACTTCACAATAAAAGCCACCCCTTGTTGTGCCAGTGGAACACCTAAAATGTAAAGCAACAGCAGTAGAAGGGTTCATGTGCATCGTTTCCTGTGAAGGCAATTTGAATCCAGCATTGGAATGGCGTACTCCGCCACTAACAATGACGACTACTAGTGTATATAGAAAGGCAATTACTCAAAGTAAATACATCACATGGCTGTTGCTGAAAAAATGCCAACTGTTTGTGGAATCAAAGCTGGGGTTTGATTTCATGAAAATCTAAAGGATTATAACTCTAAATGAGGAATGACGGCCTCTACCAGGGAATCTTCTAGGGACACAAACATCTGGTTCTGAGAATGTTACAGTTACACTCAGTCTATCAGTTTTATTCTACAGATCAGTGGAAAGACTACATTCACAGTTTCAGGTCTACCAGCTTTTTATTTTGAGCTTATTTGGATGCAGTTGTTTAGTGTTCATGTTCACAAAAACTAACTGAACTATCTTAGATCATAGGAATATTTTATTTTATTCAGCTTGAGCTCTTCTTTTGAAATATGAGATTAGGAACAAAGACTGCTTGCAGTAGTAGACATGCATTATGGGATTTTTAACAAGCCCGTGAGGTAGATGTTGATTGGTTGGAGTCAGAGACTGTTGTGCTTGTTTCATGAGGTTGTCTTATTGTGTAATCCCACTTCCCCTCAACCCTGCAGCTTCAAGTCTCTATTAGTCTATAGAGATGTTATCTTGACGGCACTTTGAAGAAAATGGAGACAAATATCTACGGCAACTACATGGCCTTGCTAAAACTGACTCACTCTGCAGCCTCTCTGCTTGCTCCTCACACGTATCTCTCTCTTTGTTCCATGGCACATGGGTGTATATTTTTTGAGAATTCATTAATTTAAAAGATACTTACGTATCAGTCTGATGATGAAGACAGGTTTCTCTTGTCTTACCTGAGTAGTCTGCCACCAGTCGTCTCTTTTTTCTTTGATCTTCTACAATTGAGCTTCAATGGCTCTAGAGAAGCTGCGATTCCTATAGCAGAAGGTCTTACCTTCCCCTTTTATTATGAAGTTGTCAAAACAGGAAATCAGCTTTAATATTATCTTTTGAAGTTGAGAAATAAATGTATTCTGTCTTGCTCAGGCCACTGTCCAAAAGCTGCTAACAGAGGGGGTGCAGCTTAACAGCCCTGCTGTACCTGCTGTAGAAACAGAGGTGTGTGTGTCTGAAGATGATCCACACTGGGTTGTTTACAGGTGAAAACACAATATACAGACATTTTGTTCATTTTGTATATCTTTTGTCTCTTGAGTGTATGTTTCTACTTTATTATTTGCATATCATAGATTTAATGCACGTTTTATTCATTTTAAGCTTTCAGAGATGATAATAAATGCTTTTGCATTGTACATTGTTAATTGTCATTATTAACTATAGCAGCAATGCAAGCTGTGAGATCTCAGGAAAACAGTCTGATAGACTGTAAGTACCTTTCCATGACCACATTTCCTCCAATTTGTGTTTCTTATCTTTTGTTACAACAAATAGTTTTGACAAAATCATTATTTAATTTGCTAAAAAAGTGTTAGGTCCCAAAAATGTTGTAGGCTTTTATTCCACAGATGGAACTATTAATGTAAAAAAAACTTATACATTATAAGTTTAAACAGACAACAAGCAAAAAGAATTGACATTTTCACCTTCAGTTTAATTTTTTACCATGTGGCCACTTTGGTATCTTATTCTCTCACACACAAGCACAACTTTCGCTGTCCCTTTCCCTCTCCCTACCCAGAGACTGGATCCAGGCTCTGTCTGCCTACGCCACCTCCAACTTCTTGCGGGCAGCGGAGCTCGGTGCAGAGATCAGGGAGCCCTGGGTCGTAGCAAATGCAGCCGTTTACCTGTGGAACTACAGCAGCCACGTGTTAGTAGCTGGGGAGTACCAACACCTGCTTCCCACCTTCCAGAGTCTGGTGGAGGTCCTTCGAAAAACAGAGTACACAGGGTAGGCTTGGCCTCTAATCAGTTTTGTTACAGGGTATATGCATGTTAGACAGAATCGTTTGGTAATTCGGCCTGGAGTTCTTGCAGTGTTTTATTTTGGTCCAGTGCTAACATTTAAGCTTTTTGTGAACAGGTCTGAACCCGAATATCACAGGTGTTTGATAAAAACGTATTCCTAAAAGGTCATCATTTCAAAAAACCATGAAACAAAGGTATTTTTAGACTGATGACTGTAAATTTTTAAATGACTTAGAGGTTTTGAAAGTGTTTCATCAGCCTAGCAGTCATTTACCCAACCCTCAGTGGACTACTGTGTAAACATAGTCTTTCAATTTGGGTGAAGTTATTAGGTTTTCAGCTGATAACAGCACATTGTACACATGTCCTTAGAAAATCATTTTAGGCACGGTCAGAGTTGACCTCTGAAAACATTGTTAATTTATTCTCTGTGGCACTGAAGCTCACACACAGAAAAGGAGGCAGTTTAAGCTCTGCACTTATGTCTGGGTATGGAAAGAAGAAGTGAATGTTCATGAAAATGGACCAATGTCCTTGGGCATAGCAGTAATTATGTGAATGTTGGGATTCAGTGACATTCTCATGTATGTGGCCATGGAAACATACTTTTTGCCGTCCAAAATCTGTGGTTAGGTTTTTTATTTCCAGGAAGAACTAAAATATAAAAATAAATGTTTGGCCTTGAAGCCCATCTTTCAGTACTTGTTTTTTCCAGATAATGTCAGTTTGTGTGTTGTATTTCTCAGGACTCGTGTTCTGTTTGTGCTGCTGTGTAATGCTGTGGCCCGGGGGTTGATCCAGCCTCTGTGTGGACCATACAGCATCGCTCTGCCAGGAGACAAGAGTAAAAGCAAAGCTGAAAAGGGAATGGAGAAGGCTGCCAGTGTCCTTGGTTTTTTTTTAGAACCTGCTGCCCTGCAGGATGTCCGCAAGGCATTAGAGGTATGTTAGTGTGTGGCTGTGCTTGACCTAGTGTTTAAATGAATGTATTTAATAAGTATTAGTACCATATATGTATTTGTGAAGAAGAGTGACGGCAGAACCACCACCTACACCAGTTCCTGTACCTATGTCACCAACATGGGCATAAAACCCATCTTTGTCACCATATTTTTTTCATTCTCTCTGACACCATATATTTTTTATAAAATCAGAACCAAAGATGGATCCAGATGTCCTATGTTACAATAAAGTAACATAAAACCAGCACACATAAATAAACATCTTCATAAAAATGCCCTCTCTTACCATACATTTTTATTAAAGCTCCCTACAAAGCAATTATTTAAGTTGTATATTTGCATATACGCATATTTGCATAAAGGTAAAAAAGCCTGTAAACACAGAACTACTTACAAGACAACTATCTGGTAAGACTTGAGCGGCAATTGCACTGTCACTGTCCTTATCTTCTAAAGGAGATAATAAAAAATCAATTCTGAAGAAGGCTGAGGATAGAAGTTATAATACGTTCCCTAGCGTTTCAAAACCTCCAAGTATCATGAAACCAGCTTACAAATTAATCGAAACACCGTGTTTCCCACAGAATGACAGCGTAACTGTGGTGCAGGGGTGGGTGGGGGGGTTTGCAGTCGATATTGACTACCAGCTACAGCGTGCTAACCTCGACAACCCACCTATGATCTAACTTTAACCCTATTAGCTAGGCTCCTTACATGCTTGCTTTGCTAATAGCTTTTTTTATGGTGGGTTTCCGATATTGACAGGGTTGTGTTGGACAGATTTATGCAGCATGAGAAAGAGAGAGAGAGGGAGGGAGGGAGCGTCCTTGCAAGACGTGTTCAGACAATCAAATTTTAATCTTTTGTACAGATATTACACTGCAAAAAAGTATGAAACAGTTTACACTCTGTGAACTTTGTTATACTGTTTAAAACTTTCGAATTCAGTATTTCACTATTCAAAGTTACAGTTGCTTGTAACTTTTCAAATGATCCCTTTTTATTTTATGAATTATGAACTATGAAATAGGTCAGTATCCGTATGATAGATGATGAGCTTTAATAGAACAAATGGCAACCTTTTTTTGGAGCTATCAAAGCTATCAAGCTTCTAGTACATCCATTCCCTGAAATGTATTTTAGCCCTTAGGTACATTATTATTATGGTATGTCAAAATGGGATTCACCAAAACAGACAAGAATGCAAAGAATAAGGCCACTTTGTATATGTTGAGGCTTAGCACTCAAGGCAAGAAAGCAATATAGACAAAGGTATTGTTTAAGTTTCATACAGTATGTGTTTGTATCTGTATATTAGAAATACAAGGCCTCTCAGGAAGCACTGATTACTCCTTGATATGATCTTCAAAGGTGAAAAGTTGAAGCACTCTCAGGATACATTTTATCTCGCTCATCCTTTGACACACACTATTCATCCAACCAAGCTCACACGCACGCGCACACACTCACATTTTGCTTTCCTGACCGGGTTTCTTTGTGCCATTAAAGCCTGATTTCTATGTTCTCTATGCTGCAGCTGCCAATTAAACCCTTTCCTTTCTCCTTTTCTATCAACCATTTATATAAGCTCTAACTCCAGATGAAAGGCACTTTATCAGTGAATTATTAACCGACATTCAATGTGTCTGTTTCCTTTTGATGAAAAGATATTAAAAAACTTTCCAATACATTTTTTATACATAGTTCACAGTACAACAGGATCAGCTACACTGTCTAACAAAATCCTACTGAATTCTGAGTCTGTCGTGTCTACAGCTGAAAGGCTGGCAGAGGGCCTTGGGCTAGAGAAAGTCCAGGTCTTTCAGAAACATATCATAACGTATGGTATTTGATAGACACTTTCCATCCATCCATCGTCAACCGCTTATCCTGCGTACAGGGTTGGGGGGGGGGGGTGGAGCCAATCCCAGCTGACATCGGGCAAAAGACGGGGTACACCCTGGACAGGTCGCCAGTCCATCGCAGGGCCACACATAGACAGACAACCAGTCACACTCACAACTGAGGACAATTTAGAGTCTGATAAACAATTTGATCCGCATAAACATTTTTAATATCATTTGGGATAATGCATAATCCCGACTATGTTAATGCCATGTTCTATTTATTGAGTTTCTCAGACTACTAATACCAAGTACTTCTAGCTGATAGACTGTAACCTGTTGTTGTTTTCCACCCTTCTTTCTAGTTGTGTGACTATGCCCTTTACATATCCAACTGCAACATCCCAGGGGAGACTGTACCTATCGCAGCAAGGAAGCAGGTGGTGGCCACATGGGTGCAGATCAAGAGGCTCTTGCAACAGCAGATTGGCCCAAAGATGGATATTAAAGATGAGGTACCATCCACTGTGTCAGCCCAAAAGTGCTTTGTTTTAGTTTGCCAATATATGTTTAGATCTAACCAAGATTTGAGAGCACGTACATTATAAATATAACATATTACATTGTAGTCCAGGATTTGGTTGCGCCAGCTATTCATAAATCCATTAATAAGTTTGAATGTAAAGTCATTCTTAAGATCTCAATAACTACTTGCTAGTTTCAAGTACTGATTTACTAAATCAGGTTGCACCATTAAAACTTAAGAAATGTCTTTGCTAGTAAAGACTTTAGTCAAATGTAAATAGTTTTCTAGTAAACATCTATAGCGCTATGCAAACAAGAGCAATGAACTATGTAAACATGACGTCACTGCATTATCACCAGCTAGCACAGTCTCAAAAACTACAGTTTTAGAAGGGCAAAACATCATCTTTTAGAAATGTTGGTAATACTCTATTTTGTTTAGTATAAATACTATTCATACAGTTTAGGGTTAGTGGGAAAAGACTATGCTAAATTAACTGACGTTATTGACTCATGTATTTAGTCAAACGTTTGCTAATTTGTGGTATGTTATTTTAATTTTTGTAAATTGTAATTTAAAAGATTTACATAATTTTTAAAAAGCATTTATCAAGTTTCTGGTCAGATATGTTGACTGTAACATTCTTAGAAGTTACTGGGTGTAAATATTAAGTAACAACTAATCTCTGCCTAAGAGCTAGTTTGTGTGATTCGGCCCATTACTGTCTAATGAGCCATAAACCTCCACTTAGTAAAAATGTCTGAATTTGTGAACAGCTGATGCTACCGGCTCCAGGGGTCGGCAACCTTTTCTCAACTAATGATTGTAAATTGACAAAGATAAAGATGACTGGTGTGCCAGTAGCAACATGAGACAAACTGCAGCACTTTTTTGTACCTGTTGTATGAAACAAAAGCCCGGTTTTGACAATAGGTGACACAAACACCAAAAGTGTGTTTCCATTTGCAAAACAGCATGCTCCATGAAGTGTTGTGTTCTGGTTCCTCTTCATACAACCAACAAAATCACATACTGATGCTAAAAAGAAAATGCTAGAACAAACGAAAAACTCTTCAGTCAAGATACTCGTAGCAAAAAGACAACAACACACCACATCAGATCAGGTTTACACCTGCAGTCATTTAGTGGTGAACAAAACTAAACTGAAAATAACAACATTCTTGAGGCTGTATGTCTTGCCTTCTCGTTTTACATCAGGCCACACCGCAAATACTGTAATATTGTCCCTGACCAGACACCATAGATAAATAAAAGATAAACAGTGGATGTAGCCTAAGGCTAAAGTTGTTTTATCTATGCTGTCTGGTCAGGGAGAACATTCCAGTATTTGCGGTGTGGCCTGACGTAAATGATACATACAGCCTAAGGCCCCAATCAGACAGAAAGCGTTTGCAGGTTTGAAAACGCGAGGAGCCTTTTCAGTTGAATTTGGAAAATTCCAGTGCACTGCCGTTGTTTTATGTTGCCAGGCAACCACCAAATCAACTGTCCTGTCAGTCTAAGTAATAACTGTCATATTAGCACAAGCTTGATCACAACTCACAGGTCTGTGTCTTTTGTTGCTAAAAACATCTGCTTTAAAAAATAGACAAACGGAGAGCGCTTGCATTGTTTGAGGGTGAGAGGTGTACAAACACGCAGGAGACAGGGAAACATCCGTGTGGGCACATGAGAACCTCAGAAAGAGGAGACACCGCTGGTAGTACAACCAGTTTGTCCAGGAGCTTCGTCTTAATGATAGTCGGTTCAAGGCTTATTTTAGGATGAGTCGGGGACAGTTTGTTGCAGTCTCTGGACAATCCAAGCAACTGTAAACTTCCGTCACCACAACCGAGGCCCCGTCTCTCCATTCATTTGATTGCACAATTGAAAAAAACGCGAATGATGTTGGGCGCTTTTCTGCTCAGAACACTCCTTCGAAAATGTGAGGTGCAGCAGGCGGCTAAAACGTTAAGCGCCAAGGGGGCCTTAACAGCCCACATAACGCTCAGTGCCAAATAGAAAACTATTTAAAAAAGGCACCTCTCACTGCAAAAAACGCATTCTGTCTGATCGGGGCCTGAGTGGTGTGACAAATTCAGCCTCGGCGAAACTAAGGTTAGAAAGTCCATCCCCTTCCAACCATCCATCACCTCAATCTCAAATTGATTAAAAGAGGAGCCATTGGCATGCAAACTTATGAAACCTCATATTTTCGATTAAGACACTGAAAAGTTGGACTGATGTCCACAGAAATTCGCACCTTGCATTCTCACGCCTCACAGCTGCTTCATCTTTTCTGTGTCCTTCAGTTTTTTACGTTTTATGCTCTGCATGTGCATGTATGCGTTTAATGCTCTACTAACTAGGATTTCGGTGCAAGACTTGTATGAAAAGAACCAGATATAGTTAAAAGTGAGGTGACTGAAATTGTTGTGATCACTGAATCACAGCATTTTCAGTTTTAGAACATAGTTGGCAGGAGTGCATCAAAACGATGATGAAACAAATGTATAAAATTGTTTTTAAACAACAGCAAAATCAACAAAAAGCCTTCAGTATTGCTAATTTTGTGATGTAACAAAGATTATATATTTATACATTCCAATGCAATTATTTTTCTTTTTCGCGTGGAGGGGTTGCTATCCTCTGTATACTATATTTAAGATAAAAAGGGCTGCTAAAGGGCTTGTAAATGTGAAATGCAAAGGAGACTGAATGCACACTGAGACAACTGTATAGCTCATTGTCACATATTCATGTCACATTCATAATGCTTCCTGTATTATGGTGTTCTTGCAGTTCTTCTGTAATGTGCTTATAGTATTGTAGGCTTATGATGCCTGACATTTTTATTAATTGTTTTCACGTAGTAGGTGGCACTTCCACTATATCCATATTACAGTATTGTATCCGCTGGTTTGTGATCATCTCCGGATGTCATATTTCCTGATTGTACTGCTTTGCAGTGGGACAAAAATGCGGGGAAAGCACCTATACAATTTGTCAGTTAAATGGACTGTTTGATTAGTCACCATAATCCTACGACCATTTGTCTGCCAAGGATTTCCTGGTCTACTTTAATCCATTCTGTTTGTTTCTTGCCATGCAAATTAAGAAATGCAGTGTTAAAATAAATGGGGTTCATCTGTAATCTCAAATCAATCATCAACTAATTTTCCAAACAATAGGAAGTCATTCATTATCAGCAAGGCCATCTCTGCTGTATTTCAGACACATGCATACAATATGATAATCATACTCCAGGTCCATGTTTCATTTACGAGCAAATAGCAATATGTTCTTTTCTTAAACATAAGGTACATTGGTGTATGTGTATTGTGGTATGTGTATTTATTGTATTTCCATATCTGTACAGTGTATTGTGTGATTTGAATTACACTGTACATGTAACAGCCCAACAAGGGACAAGAGTTGAGTTAGCAAGAGCTCTAAACTGTGCAGCACGTCACTTTCATACTCTGTATGTTAAATTGCCTCGCCCCAAAAAAATTTAAATAAAGAGTATGCATGGTTCTCTTCCCCATTGGCAGTGTGAGAATGAGGACGTGTCAGCGATGACGCGTGTGCTGGTTGGAGTGGAGATGCTCCAGTGCAATAGGAACCCGAGGCATATGGAGTTCTCCGTTCCCAGTCTCTCCACAGTATGTACTTCTTTGTTCATGTTTTGCTACAGTAGCCGTTGGCCAGATGGTTACAACAAATGCCGAGATCGCAGCGCAGACTCTGTCTGCAGCTCATCATGTGTCAATATCTTCAAAATAATGTAGCTACCTTGATCATCATGCTTTGGTCGGATTAACGTCATTGGCCCTGACAGGCCCGTTGGCTATATCTTCTTTCACTCTGTCTCTCATCCATCCATCTCTCTTCGGCTCTTTTCTCCTCCTTCCTATCTTCGCATTTTGGTTCACTCCTTTCTCTCATACATTCTGTGCTCATCCTCGCCTTCTTAAACTCTATAAATGTTTTCCATTTGTCCATCACCCCACCTCCCTTTTTCTTGACCTTATCTCATTTGTTTTCTTTTTCTTTTCCACTTCTCGTTAATCCTCCTTCCTTCTAACCTGTCACTTTCTGTGTGCTTCCATTCACTCATTCCTTTGCTACCTTCCTCTCATCCCTGATTACCTCCTGCTTTACACATTTACTCCGTTCTATTCCTCTTTCCAATGCTTACATTTATGTTTTTACTCTACCCTTATGCTTACTGCCATCTGTCTTTTCCCTCGCAAATGGTTTCTTAATTTCTGTCCTTTCCTTTTCTTCTCCTGTCTCCTCCCTCACCTTCTTTGCCTTTATGCGATTCACTCCACCCTGCTTTTCTCACCCTCCCTCTTGTCGTCTTTACCCTCACTACCCCCCCTTCCTTTCCCTCATCCACCTCCATTTTCCTCCCCTCCCCTATTCTCCCGCCTCACCTAAAGCTGGTGAGCATGGCGTCTGAATGCAGCTGGACTGACGCCGTGGTGGAGTTGCAGGTGTGGTGCCAGCTGGCTGCCTTCTGCCACTATTCCAAGGACCACAGCTTGGTGTTGTGCTGCACCAAGAATGCTCTGCAGCTGGAAGAAGCAGCAGCAAAGAACCTCAAAACCATGCCTTGTGTTTTGTAAGTGGAATTAGCGGAATAAATTGTATATTTAATTTTTTTATCTAATTCTTAAAAATGGACAAAAGGGACTGCACTTGAAATGAATGTATATGTTTGTTATGGCAAGCACTACAGATAGGTGTTAGGAGTGGTTGAGGTTTTTGCCTCCAAAGCTGTCTGAGGGGCAGGTGACATCTTGTGCATGTTCAAGAGTATTGCAGTTGATACAAATGAGCAAGCATTGCTTTCCATTTTTGCATGAAGTTGGAGAGTTTGAATCAAGTTGCACAGCTTTGGATTTTTCTTTGTGTCAGTTTTACATTTTGGTTGATTGATTGATGAACTTGGACAGCTAATGGATTTCCTCATATCCCTAGGTATGGCCTGACTGCAGTGAATGAGATGCTGAGCACTGCGGCTTGTTTGAGGGGTTTGAGTTTAATCCATGAGTCCAATGGAGATCTCCACAGTTACAGAGAGGCTATGAAGGTGCTCCTGTCCAGTGTCAGGTGCTGCTTATTTATTGACGAATGCCTTGGGCAGCTACAAACTAGTTTTCTAAAAATATTCTCTTAATCTGGTCTCTCTACATTTTTTATTTCTTACCTTATGTGCTAATTATATTCTCTTGTCCATAGCTATGCTGAGGCTGAGAATCCAGCATTGTGTGTCGCAGCTGCCAGGCATTACTGGAATGCTTGTCTACCCCTGACACAAACTCCTGAGGAAAGATGGCAGCTCAAGGAGCCCCTGGAGAAGATCCTGGTTGCTCTGGTTCATACCAACTTGAAACATGCAAATGTATGGGTTCTTCTTTAGCCATATTTACATTTAATATTTAATTTTTTTTACGTTGGTGTCTGAAGGCAGGATCCAGAGTAGATTTTTCATGATACACTCCTAGTGTGATTTCCATAAAAGTTTTAATGTGAACAAAAGCAAAACTAAATCCTTTGAAGGTATGTCTGTGGTGTTTGGACCCTCCCAGGTCTACATTAGGAAAAAGGCCAACATGGACATATTTTTTTCAAAAATAGGCATGATGATATCCTTTTATAGTCATAGTCCAAAGTTATCAGTAGGGATGGGGATCGAGACCGGGTTCTAAAAGGACCCGGTTCCAAAATTTCACAAAACCCGAAAATCAATAACGTCCTACCTTATCGATACTGCTATGGAGACTAGCGGGTCCTGTAACATTATATCTCGAGCATCAAATCTGATTTATCTTGAAACGCAATGGACAAGAAAACTAATATTTATTAATTGATCGCACCGAAACTCGGTATTAAACAGGCCCGAGACTGTTTATCATTGGACTGCCGCCTCTGCTGCCCTCTATCACATGCACACACACACACACACACACACACACACAATTCAATTCAATTCAATTCAAATTAGCTTTATTGGCATGAATGTGTAACAACAACATTGCCAAAGCATCATACATACAACATAAGAACAATGAACCCCATACATTTCATTAAACGAGTAATTTAAAGCGTAAAGTAATCAAAGCGTATGTGTGTTTGTGTTAAAAAAAAGAAGAAATATTAAAAATTAAAATAAAATAAATAAATAAAACAGTAAGCGTGTGTGTGTGTTTAAAAAAATAAAAATACATTAAAAATAAATAAATAAATGAAACAGTAAGCGTGTGTGTGTATGTTTGTGTATGTTTAAAAAATATATATAAAAAATAAAATAATAAAACAATATTGTGCAATCTTTGCTGTTGTAAACATTAATGTTGCTGCTCTAGAAACAATATTTAGCTGTATTTATAATGTTAAATTCTAATCCTATAATTAATTTTAAAACACCCAGGCAGCCATGAGCACTTCAATATTATGTGTATTTATCGCAAGTCATGTGATCTCAATATATCATCTCAATATATAACAACCTTATCGCACATTGAATATTTTCCTCATACCGTGCAGTCCTACCTCATGCCCGTTGGGTCTGGTCTTTACCAAATAACCATCACTAAATAATAGTAAAGTATCCATAGTGGTATCGATAAAGAATCGGATCGTTAAGCAGTCTCAATAAGGGTATCATTATCAATAAAAATTAACGATCCCCATCCCTAGTTATTAGACAAAAAATATAAAGCCAAACACAAAATGACCCTCCTGAAAAACGTCTAAAAATGTAATTGTTTCACAAAGTAAAAAAATATTTGAAAATACAGTTTCAATACAGTTTTTTTGTTGTTGCTGTAATCCAATGTGCAGGTACTTTCTTATTTTTCATTTGGTGAATCTGTCATGCAGCACCTGGCTTAAACATAGGACATCACACAACTACATTTTTGCATTTCTGTGATGTTTAACAACATAAAGCATTTTTATTGGTGCATCTCAACTTCTAAGCAGGAGCAGTAACGCAGCACAGCAACAATGAAACCACAGAAACACAGAGTCTGCCCCTCTGTTAAGGAAAATGTTCCAGCCCATTCCCAGTCCCAGCATCAGACAAGCCAATTTTTTTAATGCCATCTGACATGACAAAAGTTCAGCCAAAAAAATACTAGCAACAAAATGAACAGCTAATGAGCAAAACCAGAACTGATCTATCATGACCTGTATTTTCTGTTTTGTTTCCTACTTTGTCCTATTTCTTATTTCTTTTTTTGACAACTTTAGTTTGGTTGCTGTAAAACTAAGTAAAATAGGTGGCGCAGTTCTTAAACTTGCTCTGTAATCTTTAATTTATGATAACGTTGATGAAACATTTTCATGAGGCTGCTACAGGGGAACTTGTGGGTGTGCTTAAATGTGAGAACATCTCCCCAGCACTGCCTGTGGACAGCAATCCAGCCAGGGGGATAAACAGTTGTTCCAGTGCAAAATAACTTAAAATCCATAATTAAAGGCAGCTTATGATCTTCATCTGTGGTGTTCTTTCTAACTTGATACTGATCTTCAGTAGTGATGCAACCCGCAATAATCAAGGAAAACGCTTTTTTTTGTATGGGTTGCCAAAGTCTGTACATCAAAAATGACTGCCTCTCCCAGATAACTGAACCAAGTCATGTTGCAGGCTCTGGATGTGGAAGGGGATTTACAGAAAAGAGTGCTGGATCAGATACATAGAAAGGTCTGATAGAAATGTATCTTCAACTGTACATCAGTGCGCTTTAACTTTTTACCACCAACGGCAACACTGCCCTTCTCACACTTGTAGCGACTTATGTATTAATCCTTTCCCTTTCTTTTTCAGAAGCAGGGCAAAATGAAAGGCTTGCTGACCTTGACAGCACTGCCTCTTGGGAGTTCTAAACATGAAGCAACAGGTAAAAGGAGGCTGCACACCTTGCAGATGGCCTCATGATTTGTTTCCTCTGTACCTCTATACTGTAAATAAAAGTGTTATTTATTCCAGGATAAACACTGGGGACTGTGACATTTGCACTTGAATTGTCAATTAGGCAGCTAAAGTTCTACATTGATAATTAAATTATGAACATGTATTTAAATAAATTGGATAACAGATCATCATTAAGTCATCTAAATATGCATTTCTATACCCATGTATGTAAGTAGGTGAAGAGGACCTAACCCTGAGAGCAGCCATTTACAGTTTGTTGCTCCACATCCACATTGATAAGATAGACTGGAAAAGTGCTCTGCAGCTGCTGGACCAAGCTATTAGAGAAATGCCTCGCACCAGACACCGGATGTGAGTTTAAAAAAATTACATATTGGGGACTGGGGGAAAAATGTGAAAGAAACTGGAGAAGTAGATGGAGAGAAAGTCAACAATAAATCATATTGCCTGTGTTTTACCAGACCTCTGCTGAAACACAGAATACTGGTTAAAGCACGGCTGGATGAAAATGTACTGATGGACATGCAGAAGTTACAAGACGAAGGAGAGCAGTGCCATTCATTCATGTGGCACCAGGTGGCTCTGTGTGCTGACAAGATAACCCAACAGCTCATCTGCTACCAGAAATCCATCACCTCTCTGTTGGTAATACCTCTGTTCTGACACTATTTTGACATCATTAACCTGGTACAGCAACAGATTATGCAGATGCAGATAGATCATGTTGGAATCTGTCACATTAGAAAGTTCCAGTCTTGAAGTTCATGATTTTTTTCCCTGTGTAGTCTCTTTGCACTGAGTAAAGGCAATATTTCTAGTAAGGTCTCTATCACCATCATGTGGAGCCAGCATGTCATTACAACTGTGAGGAACACAGAAAGACAGTCTCTTCATTGGAGTTAGGATGAATGACATCTGTTACACCATCCAAAGGTGTCAATTTAACACAAGCTCCGGGACACATAAAGGACCATCTCCTGTCAACTATCAAACAAAGGCAAAATGGATAAAAGTATCTTTAAAAATATGTTATATATTGACTGTTGTGTTTGTGATGCCATTTGTCAGCAGAGTGTAGAGACTCATTGGCAGAAAGTCAGCCTTCTGCTAGAGTTTGGAGAGTGGCTATACTCTCACAACTTCCCCAAAGCTGATGCCGAACACCAGGTTCAGTGGGCCATAGACATCCTTCTACACTTGGAAACTGAACAGACTGGAGGAGAAGGTAGAACTCATCGTCTCATCTTGTTCAGTGTTTCATGACACAACTGTGTGAACGACTAGTTAGTTTTGTTAATGATGCTACTGTGCACTTTAAAATCTAGTGAAAAAGGTAACAGATTTTAAGAATTCCCCACGAGGTACGCACATCGGCATGAAACGCCTGGGGTGCTTTGCCATATGGATTCAGTTTGTGTGTGTGGTTTACACTGTGTTAGTCTAAGGGGAATAACATCTGCTCTGTTTGATCCAGAAAAGGGCCATGCCGCTACTTTATGATAGTTGCATCAGCAATGTATTTCAGTGTTTGTGCTTTGATTTCAGCTGTTACCCTGTGTAAACATTAAACCAAGAAAACGTATTCAGAGAAAAAGGAATTGACCAGACAATTAAATATTTTTCATGATCCCATGTGGGCACCACTGAGAATAGCATTGCACTATTTAAAATACTGCTGTGAAGTCTTTTTAGTCTCCTGCTATGAACCATAAAATATTCCCTGAGAGACAAACTGAACACTCAAATAAAAGAAAAAGTTTAAACTATTTGCGGAAATATGTGTTTCAGTATTTGTAATTGTTAAAATTGTAAAAGTTACAGATTATTGAACATACAGTATATGTCTTGTTTAATGTTAAATTCTTTGCCATGGTAAATGTTATATGTATATTTTTTTTACTCTAGAGGAGGAGTCCAAAAAGATGGATTTGAGTTCTGTGGAATGCGAGTCCCAGGTAGGAGTCCGGGGCTTGTTATTCACACAGCGTTTGTGTAATCTGAAGGAGGTATGGCGCCTTGATGGCTTGGTACGAGCACACACTCTGCTCGCTGTCATGGCAGACAAGACTTCACCTGAGCACCAGCTTAACCTGCTCCGAGCCTACACCTTTGTACTTCGAATATGGCAGGTACTGCATCTTTACCACAACGTTATCACTTAACTTTGACAATGTGGATGAGTTTGTTCATCAAATGCAAATGTTATTGAAGTGGGTATGGAATGTGCATATGTGTGTGCTGTTTGTCACTCCAGGTGTCCATGGCAGTGGGTTGTGAGATTTCCACTGAGATGGCAAAGACTCAGCCATCCCAGCCTCCTCCCTCTGCTGGATCCAAAAAAGGCAAAGACAAGGGCAAAGGCAAAAAGGTGAAACATGAACATCCTATAGTTTAGATTTACAGTTTTCAGTAGCGTGTAACATACAATACTAGTTCTTTACTTTTTAAGAATAATGCAGTTACTTGTCTTGTTTCTCAATAATTAGCTGCAGCCATTGTCTATCCTCTGTCGTAAAAGCAATGCTTTGAATTGCTCTCTTACAAGTATTAATTACGTTCAGCAGTGTTGAACAGTTCAACATTTTCTTTATTATTAAAATTGAGCTCGCATGTTTCATATTACCACATTGAAAATGTGCATATTATTCACAGAAATTATTTGGGGCAGTACAAATATTCTTGAAAGGTATTAACTGAACTAGTTAATTGTACTTAAATTCTGACTGCACTCTATTAATAAAATAATAGAAGAAAAATTCTCTGTCCAATCTGTTTGACCAGCCCTCCCCTGCAGAAGACAAACCTAAACCTGTTGTCTTGGATCAGGCACTTCCTTCCACCCCAAAAGACTGGGCTTGCTACGTCTGTCCTGACCAGGCCAGGCAGATCTTCAGATCCAACAGTAACCCTCACTGTATCAATGCACACAGCATTAGAAAGAAGGCAAGGCTACACACCTCTCCTTCATATTTCTCTCAGTTCCAATATCATGTACCGCGGTGTGGTATGGTATTGTCTATGATTTAAGGGATTGTAGGGACTGTGTCCGCTGGCTGTACAGGATCAAATGCTCAGCTGAGTAAGAAGCTGTCATTAGTTGTTTGAGAGGAAATGAATTTATTGATCTGTTATGATGTTGGATGAGGTTAAAAGCTGTGTTGTAATTATTTTCTGGATCTATCACCAGAATGGGATGGGAGTATGGGGTAAGAATGGATTTAATTAATTAGGAAATTGAGCAAACAGGTGGCTTGTGGGCCATTCCCTGTTCTGGTAGTATTGTTATGTACATTTGTTTTGGTATCCCCATAAGAATCTGATATTTATTTCTTCATGTTTACCCTATGTTTGTTTGCCTGTAGACTCAAAGCCTGTTTTATCTCAACCTGCTGGAAAAAGAACTTCACTCACTCTCACTGGACCACCTGACGCTGCCCATAATCCATTTAGCTGAGACCATTGCTCATGACCTTTTGGAAAATAGGAGCCTGTCCTACCTCTACCGACTTAGGTAAAAACACTAAATTAAAGGGGAAATCCACGGATTTTACATGTCAAAGTCTGTTTACAGTCTAAATCTTTTTGTAGCTCCAGAGAGAGCTGTGCAAAAATTCTATTTATACTCAATAATTTATTTTATGTTGTGACTTTGTTATGTTATGTTATGTGTTTTTCTTGTCGCTCATTTTTCACCTAATTAGAATTGTGAAGAGCTGTTGTGAGCTAGGTTTGGAGTCACAGTGCCCATATCAGGAGAAGCTCCTGAATCTGAGTAGAATCCAAGAACAAGAACAGATGAGGTATGTCAACTCAGCTATAAAGTTTATACTTTTTTTTTTTTTAATGACCTATAATATGATGTTCTTAACTGCAGATGCCACAAAGCGATTGCTTTTTCACAGGAGAGGAGAGGCCTTCAGAAAGCTTACATTCAGGTCAGCCTGCTTTTCACAAAATAAATATATCCGTTTTAAATTCTGCATCAGCTGTTCCACATTCCACACAAGGGTTTACAAGAAATTAAAATGAATATTCAATTTTCTCTAGTTCTCTCTACTTTTATTACTTCTTCGAGGATGACGTGACTTATATTAGTGAAGGAAATGTACTTTATGCTGTCATTAGTACTTTTATAATGTAACAGTGATATGAGATATATAATATGAGGTTTACAACAGTCAAATTACTATCCTCATAAACCTGAAATACAGTGGGGAGAACAAGTATTTGATGCGCTGCTGATTTTGCAGGTTGTCCTACTTACAAAGCATGTAGGGTCTGTATTTTTTTTTTTTTTTTTTTATATAGGTACACTTCAACTGTGAGAGACAGAAAATCACATTGTATGATTTTTAAATAATTAATGTGCATTTTATTGCATGACATAAGTATTTGATACATCAAAAAAGCAGAACTTAATATTTGGTACAGAAACCTTTGTTTGCAATTACAGAGATCATACGTTTCCTGTAGTTCTTGACCAGGTTTGCACACACTGCAGCAGGGATTTTGGCCCACTCCTCCATACAGACCTTCTCCAGATCCTTCAGGTTTCAGGGCTGTCGCTGGGCAATACGGACTTTCAGCTCCCTCCAAAGATTTTCTATTGGGTTCAGATCTGGAGACAAGCTAGGCCACTCCAGGACCTTGAGATGCTTCTAACGGAGCCACTCCTTAGTTGCCCTGGTTCGTTGTCATGCTGGAAGACCCAGCCACGACCCATCTTCAATGCTCTTACTGAGGGAAGGAGGTTGTTGGCCAAGATCTCGCGATACATGGCCCCATCCATCCTCCCCTCAATACGGTGCAGTCATCCTTTCCCCTTTGCAGAAAAGCATCCCCAAAGAATGATGTTTCCACCTCCCATGCTTCATGGTTGGGATGGTGTTCTTGGGGTTGTACTCATCCTTCTTCTTCCTCCAAACACGGCGAGTGGAGTTTAGACCATAAAGCTCTATTTTTGTCTCATCAGACCACATGACCATCTCCCATTCCTCCTCTGGATCATCCAGATGGTCATTGGGAAACTTCAGACGGGTCTGGACATGCGCTGGCTTGAGCAGGGGGACCTTGCATGCGCTGCAGGATTTTAATCCATGACGGCGTAGTGTGTTACTAATGGTTTTCTTTGAGACTGTGTTCCCAGCTCTCTTCAGGTCATTGACCAGGTCCTGCAGTGTAGTTCTGTAGTTCCTTCCTCATGATCATTGATGCCCCACGAGGTGAGATCTTGCATGGAGCCCCAGACAGAGGGAGATTGACCGTCATCTTGAACTTCTTCCATTTTCTAATAATTGCGCCAACAGTTGTTGCCTTCTCACCAAGATGCTTCCCTGTTGTCCTGCAGCCCATCCCAGCCTTGTGCAGGTCTACAATTTTGTCCCTGATGTCCTTACACAGCTCTGTGGTCTTGGCTATTGTGGAGAGGTTGGAGTCTGTTTGATTGAGTGTGTGAACAGGTGTCTTTTATACAGGTAACGAGTTCAACCAGGTGCAGTTAATACAGGTAATGAGTGGAGAACAGGAGGGCTTCTTAAAGAAGAACTAACAGGTCTGTGAGAGCCGGAATTCTTACTGATTGGTAGGTGATCAAATACTTATGTCATGCAATAAAATGCAAATGAATTATTTAAAAATCATACAATGTGATTTTCTGGATTTTTGTTTTAGATTCCGTCTCTCACAGTTGAAGTGTACCTATGATAAATTACAGACCTTCACATGCTTTGTAAGTAGGAAAACCTGCAATATCAGCAGTGTATCAAATACTTGTTCTCCCCACTGAAGTGTTAACGCCTCAGGTATGTCAGGTATGTGAATTTCTATGTTTAGTAATGGTTATAATTTCTTGTTTAGTTTCTTGTCCTTCTCCATGTACAGTACTCTAGCCTATTAATGGTGTGACTTTCATATTGAAATATACAGATCCTAGCAGGGCACATAAGGACATTTTTTTTTTGTTATTGTTGCACACGTTTTTTCACATGGTGGTGTTTGCGTGTTTTTGCACTTATGTATGTGGCTTTCTCATGAATGGTGTGTGTGCATCCAGTATGACTTGCATCCAACCTGATAAGTTGCTGCTTTAAATATCATCATTTGATTACAGTCAAAATCTTTCCTATATCTTGTGTTATTAAGGTGGATGAAAAGGCTGGGTCTGGGCGACAGAATAGGAATGTGTGTACTCAGGACATTTGGCTGGATAAAGCTGAGGTTTGCCTCAGCATAGGCCTCTATCAACCAGCCAGGCAGCTCCTGGCAGAGGCCCACATGGTGGCTATGGTGAGTGGAAACAGAAGAAGACCACAGTAAAATAGAATCCAACCAATCTGTCTTGCACACATTGAGTTTCTCTATCTTGGCATACCAGACTGAACCATTTTATACGTCTGCAATGCTGACAAATATGTTCTATAGTTGTGTGTAAGAAAATGTTACCAACAAATTTATTGTTGGCACTGATACTAGTGATTAATATTTTGTGCCCCCTATTAGTATTTACTGCAATGGTTCCGCTAGTTTTCTACACTTTTTGAAATTGTCTCTGTTCAGGAGCTGGGAGACCAGAAAGCAATGGCAAGAAGTTTACTCAGCCTGGCCATTCTGGCCTGTGAAGAGCAGAACTATGCCCAGGCTCTGATCCTGCTGGTCAAAGCCCAAGCCCTGGGTGGAGATGAGGAGTTCTGGTATCAGCTCACCCTCACCAAGGTCAGAGCTGTAGTAGGCCAGAGAGACCAAGATGCATACACCAAGGTACAGAATCTCTACCTTCTAACAACCTTTGCAGTACAATTACGTATCTGTTGTGAATACTTTTCTCATCATGCCTTTTTCTTTCTTTCACAGGTTGATCAGATTATAAAACAAGGCTGTGGGGCTCTGAAGCTGGTTCTGGAGCAGCGAGTAAATCGAGTCCCAGAACTCACATTCTTGATATCTTCATTAGAGATGAGGTAACTCTAAACTTCTGTGGTCAAACCTGCTAAATGTGTATTTTCTTTTCCTGGTTAAGATGACATTTGGTGCTGTGTTGTCTTTGATTAACATTTCTGTCATGTTTAAGCTGCACTATCCAGTTTAGGTAAAATAATTTACACATTAATCATCAGCAAATATTGACACTATATTTAGATTTCACCCCATAAACAACCTTTTTATACAAAATGACTAAACAGTAAACCCTAGAAGGTAATCCATGAACCAAAGATCCAGTTTACTGCTTTTAATTTATGTCTTTATTCATTACATAATTATTCATATTTTAATGATTTCAGTGTCTTTCCTAAACCTAACTTTTGTAAAAATCTGTGATGCCCACTTACACACTGAGGTTTTGGGATAAAATGGAAGAAAAGCTGAAAATTGTTTGGCTCAATGCCATATATCAGACGTATGAAGTATGGGAGGAGGGAATATGTACATACAGAATACAGACAGACAATACAGGTATACTCTGCGAAATTGAAAAGGCTTGTTGATTCTACATTTTGTGGCTGCGGTGGTAATTTGCAACGACCTTACTTAATATCCCACTTGTGTCTTGATGTATCAGGATAGACTTAACTAGTTATTTTAGTCAAACAAAAGTCAAAAACATTCATTTTTACTAGTGAAACCTACTTTCAGCATATAACTGTTTTGCATTTGAAACATTCATTAAATGTTATATTTGTAATGTTCAGCCAGACACACTCAGGTAAATTGTGAAAGTCATTCTTGTATCGTATCTAATGGAACAAGATGCTTTGTGTTCCAGAGGTGCCATTGAATGTATACGTGGCCTTGGTGGTGGTGAACCTGGAGAGACACTCAGCACCGAGGTTGTCCAGAGGCTAATGGCCGCCTGTGATACACTCAGAGAGTGTGCCAGTGGTTTCTCTAAACTCACCTGTGGAGAACATGCAGCCGAGGCACATGTAGAGTACGCACGTGGTCTGAGGTTAGTCAGTCAGTAGTTACTCTAGAGGTGCGTGTTAGTGAGATTTGTCTATGAGCATAATTTACATGCCTAAAACTGCCCTACAAACTAAAATGTTACCAAAGAGTTAAAAGAAGATTTTTTTCACACTGTGGAGTTTCAAGTCTGCTGTCAGAAATAAGCCATCAAAAACATAACAAGTTTAGCAGAATCAGTAGTCATATTAGGGGACCTGACAGCAAGAGAATATTATAGGCTACAGTAGGTGATGTTAGGCTATAGGGTCAACAGAAGATGACACTGGACAGCGACCTGCATAGAGCTGTCGGAGTAGAAGAATTTATGTATCATGTTTAATTCATTCAGATTAGGGCAATATAATTTTAAGTCAAAGGAATGTTTTTTTTCCAATGTTTAGAAATGCAGAGTACAATTCTCTTAAATTGCTCGAACTAGCCACATAAGAAGAAATCTAGTCGTACAAGAAGTTCTTGCATGAGGCCCAATGTGGTCTCACATACTTTTTGTGAGTCAGGCAACATTTGTTGTCTCCATCACACAATCATACGTTGTTTTCTTTGTCTTTGTCCACCCTAAACAATATTTCTCGACAGGATCCTAGCCAACCATGCTAATCAAATAGAGGACAAACAGCGCTTCCTGCTTGACGGCATCTCCCAAATGCAGCTAGCTGTTATAGAGCAGGAACATGTGGTGCTGAATGCTCAGCGGCTGCTCCCCTCACAGGAGGAGGTAAATAAAATGCATGCGTGTGCCTTGAAAATCCATCTTTCATTGTGATGATGTCCTCTCAAAAACCTTGGGAGACATTTCATCCCTCGTGTTCTCAGAAACATCCTTTTTTCTATTATCAGCACTTTTAACCAGTCCCATCCACTCTACTTAACTTTCTTTTAGGATGATGATAAGAAGAGAACATGGCTGAAAATGGACACCAGAAATTACTTACTGGACTGAAGAGAAGCTATTACTCTTACTTTGAAGTACATTGGAAGTACATTTGCTTGGCTGTTAAACTTAGCTCAGAAGCTGAGTTCTGGCTAAAATTGCTGGCCCATTAAGCACATGTGCAGATGGCAAAATATTTGATCGTATTTAGAGAAGTATCTGAGCATGTTGTTCAGTGTTGAGAGAAGAAAGGATTTTCCTGTGCAAAGCCCTGTTTATGGCTAAATGACAGAGAGAGATGCTTTGTTCGTTCTCGCCACATGTTCATTTCCTCAAGAGTATAATTGACCGAATCATAATTAAGCTACCGCATGAGACTATTAAGGTCCTGTTGTGCCACCGTCATGTTCTGGGGTTCTTGGCTGTCTGATAACCTGTGTGATATCCTCTCTAAATATAAGTGTGTATGTGTGTATTGCTGTTTATATCTCAGACCACAGTTTAACAATGTTCTGACACAAACAGATAAAGCCTCCATTACTTTTACTTGTCAACAGCAGATGGAGCAGATGGGTATTAGAATCATATTTTATCCAGACACTATACACGCTCCCATACAGATGAGGTTATCTGAGGTCTTCAGTGCCAGAGATGGACTGGCCTAACACTGGCTACAACCTTGATTTACATATTGTTGGATTCATGAAAGAAAGATTGATTGAACAACTCTCACACCTGCTGCAAATCCTTGTTCTATTGAGTTTTTGATTAAACGTTCTGTGGATGAGTCAGCCACTGGACGCTGGATTGTAGCGGTGTCCTTTCAGCAGATGGTGCTGCTGCCCTAGTAAGTTTTGACATCCATCCTGCATTGGAAACAAGGGACAACAGCTGTAATCACTGAAATCTTGCTCGTTTATTTAACACATCAGCTGGGTTATCTTTTGTTCCTGATTCAATTCTATCATGATTAAATTTGTGATTTTGAGTCTCATTCAGACCGTGGCCAAAGTTTCTCATTTGCCATGGCTCACTGTCAGCCACACACAATATTGGATCTCCCATCTACCCTAAGTTGCATCTTAACATGTCTCATACATACTGATCTTCAGATTTCAGGCGTGTGTTTTCCTTTATGATGTACTCCATGTGTGTGCTTTTATTTTTGAGTTCTGACATTTTTGTTTTACGCTTTCATCCTTGCCAGGGCCATGGACTGTCGCTGGCACCCACGCGGAGGCTGCTGCGCCTGCGACTCGCTCTGGCTGAATTTTGTCTGGCCGTGCTGGAGGAGCACTGTGCTGAGAAGAAACGCCAAGCTCTAGCCCGGGAGAGGAAGACCTCTGCTGAGATAGCACTGGAGGAGTTTACACGCTGCACACCTGAGCCCAACTCTATTGAACAGGTCAAATAGTGCCTTCTTAAACCTGAGTCAAATGAGAACTCTTATATCTATTTAGATGCCACAGTAATCACGTACTGTGGTGTCCTTAAACACCAATTAATGTAATAAATTAACAGATTGTGTCAAAGCACATATTCTGTTATTACATTATATTACAAATAAAGCTTATGCCTATGTCCCGTAGAACTCCATTGTTGTCGAACAACTAAAAACACAATAAGGTTATTAGGTGTACACCTGCATTATCAGTCTACACAACAAAACAGGGCTGGAACAGACAGAAACATTCCATCCCATGTAACTCAGATTTAGAGTCCGGCCAAGGAAGTAACAAATATATACTTTATAAAATACAAAATATTACTCTAAAGGTGAACAAGTGATAGAGCCATGTTGACACATTCTGGCTTACTATGTAGGTCAGAGGAGTGTGCAGGTTAGTTGCATGTCATTGCCACTTGGGGACGCTAACATGCAAAGGACCAATTTTGTGCTGTATTGTACTCTTGAGAGCAAATCTCTTGTGGCTAGCCAGCGATTGTTTAACTTCTCTGCTAGCGCTGAGGGAGTTCCCCCTCACCACCCCTACTCTTTATGTCTTCAAATAGAAAATACTTTATTGGCTTTGAAAGAGGATGCCAGGACAGGTAGTTATCTGTTATTATCACTGTCACAGTCAAACAAGTGCACCAGCAAGCCATTGTTCCAAATTGGCTTCCCACCAATGAGGACACCACAGCCCAGAATTTAACCTGTCAGGAGAGTGTTTTGTCTTCATTTAAAATTTTATGTAGGATTTCTTACTAGAGTGGTTTAGGACACAGTAGAATAAGTTATGTGCATAAGATTTTTGAAAAGTTGCCACGGTTCATGTCTTAGATTACACTCATTTCACTCTCCTCTAAGAAAACAGAGAGCTAAATAACATGGATTAATGCCTTTGCTGTATATCAACTTATCCAGTATTTAATATAGCTTTTATAGCTCCTTACACGCGTGATTGGTACGAATTGCGATTTCCACAATTGCAATACATACCAATTAAACTACCTAAAAACTCCAATCATGTTACAGTACACAAGAATTTCCTTCATTCTGAATGGGCTTATTGCCAGTCAACGCATGTAGTGATTGCATCAACCATAACTCTAAGTTGGAAATTGCTCATTCAATCCTAATATTTTAGATTAGGAGGCTTGCAGGGCTATAAGCCATACAAGTAGCCCAGCAGCCCTTATATTGGTCTTTATCAATGGTATAATCATACAGACCTGATTTAATTCCTGAATATTCCAAGTATATTCCCATTTGTTGTTGCTTTCTTGTTCTCTCCTACTCTCTCTTCCTCTTTCTGTCTCACTCTATCTCCATAGCACAGGGATGAGTATTGTGATGAATATAAAACTAGAACATGCAAGTTTCTTCACAGACACCACTCCTTCCCTTCTTATAACAGCTTTTATAATAGCTTTTCCAAGTAAAATTGTGATCCATCTCCTCATTTGACCTTAATTTCCTTGTGTCTTGTCCAGGAATGGGTGAGTACAGGCAGTACCTTGGGGCAGGTGGCTCTGGGCCAGCTGGCTGCAGTCAGTTCTCACTCCCTGGACAACATGGAGACCAGAGCCAGCTGCTTGAGTCTGATGGGAAAGTACCTTATATTGCTGGCTGTGCAGGAGGACCCCATTTATCTGTGTGCTCTTTGGGAAAGACACAAACAGGTAGACAACACAAATGTGTACATAAACTTTTACACAAACTGTTCATATACTCATACATTGGGTTCTCACTGGCACTGTATTCCAGATGGGAAACTGGGGAATTTTCTATAAAATTTAGAGAATGTCAGAAAATAAATTAATACATTAGAAATGGAAACCAAAAACTATTGGAAATGAAGAACAAAATATTAATTTCACCAGCTTCATCCCTTTTTAAAAAATAATCCCCTTGATCAGAATTCTGGGGACGAATATCAAACAACAAATCCTAAAAATCTCTGTCAAAAATAAGTAAGAATCTAACCAAAGAGTTTAATTTCATAACAATATAGGAATGCAAGAAGACTTCACATTTCATATACACTAAAGATCCTACACCTCAAGTATTTAAAGGTTTGATTGTTTATCACTTCAAATGTCCTAGTTGTATTGCTGATTATATAAGCAAAACTGAACATTGCCTAAGTTTCAGAGTTAAGTAAATACTCAGGAGGACCAAACAGTGCTGTGTATGAACATTTACCATCATGTAATGAATTCATACACTTAACTGATATCATGAAACTTCCTAAAAACTCATAAAAAAGACATTTGTCAAAGAACAAAAAACAAAAACACTGATACAATAAACCAAAGTAAATACTGAGATTTTATCTCTACCTCTTTAAAAGGGCAATCAATTATACACATGGAGTTCAGTTTATTCGTCATAAGGAGTACTACTCAGTTTGTTGAAACAGTTGTATAATATCTTTTGTGGCTTGGGAGAGAGCTTTCTAGCCTGAGTATTTTAAAGTAATTCTACTCGAGTCTGTTTATGCCTTCAGAAATGTTGTGACCACAAAAACAACATACCAGAAGGAAATCACTCAAGTTTTGAACACGCTCTTAGTTATTATGGGAAGTCATAAACTTTTTATTTTTTCTTAGTCCTTTTTGGGTGATGAAGATGCACACACATACAGTACGTGCGGACTGAAAAATGACCTAAAGAAAGTTGCTACCCATGGTGAAGAGCTTATAGGGATTAGAGAGATGGATGTCCAATTACATAATTTAAGACAGAAAAGCTTAGGTCTTCATGGCTTGTGATCATGAGGGGATTTTATACTAATCACAATCATTGTCCTGTGATCTTGAACTAACTTTGTTCAGAAGGAGCCCTGGTCTGACCCTAAAGCTGTTTCCTTGGAGGGGGAACATTCAGAGGAAGAGAAAGACAGAGAATCAAGCAGAAGAGAGCCGAGGGTGATCTCTGCCAAAAGTGCTGAGCTTCAGGTACATACCTCCTGACAAGTGACCCCATCACTTCTCACTCATCTCTAATCTAAGGTCTTTATACGGAGGTTCACCTCACATCTCAAATCCCCCAGAGGTAAATCTCTGGGCGCTCTGCATAGTTCTCAAATTGAAAGTCAGAGCAGAGAGATCTACTGTCCACATCAAACTAAGAATAAAATGGGGGCAATGCATTATTTATGTGGCAATATTTTGGAATATTAAGTAAGATTCCATTGGTAATGTTGTATGGTTGGGTTTTGACTGGGGTGCCTGCAGTCAGATTGACTATTACGAAGCAACATTTTTATTCCTAACATCTAGGTGCCATTTAACACATGTCAAAAGGAGATAAATGCCTTTACAGACAGCGTTATCAGTTCATTTTATGTGCCTCTGTCGATCAGGGACTTAAAAATATTGCTGCCAGACAAAATGACCTTCTTTTAAATAGCATAGAACTTCCTAGCCTTATGTAGAAACATAAACTATGAATGTGTGAAATATGCTGTCCCTTTTAAACTATTTTTAAATAACTTACCTAATAATGAAACAACAAAGTACTTAATAAGACATGGCTGAAATGACAACCTGGATGAACTGCACAGTGGTGCAAGAGACGTCTATATTCTATGGGTACAGTCTGGAAAAGTTAGGCATGTGCCCCTGTTTGACCCTAAAACCATGCCAATACAACAGTTAAATGTCCTTTTGCTTTTACTGAAAGAAATGAAACCATGGAAATAGGTTCGACGTATGAATAACAGTGATAAACCAGTTGAAAATGCTTTTAAGCTATAGTAGATTAAAAAACTGATTTGATTTCACTTGGAGCGTGATACTGAGGAAGTTGCTGAAGCTATAGGAAGCTGTAATTGCTGAGTGTGAACATTAACATGAGAATGTAAAGATAGCTACATTTAAAGATGGGCTGACACACATTGACATTTGGCAAGTCTGTCTTAAAATAAAACTAACATGCCCATATGTACATTTCAAGAGGAACTGGTCACTGTAAATGTTCCTCTTGTCCATACTGGATGTAAAAATGTCCCTTCCTGACACAGGCAAGTGGAAGAGATGGGGAACAAAACCCACTGTTCTCACTCTTACGGTAAAAATGCATTCTAAAGTTCAATTATATAACTGAATAATCTTCAGCCTCAGCTGTCTGAGTAAGACACATTAAGTTTCTTTCCTCCACAGTCTTTCTAGTCCCCAGCTCACTTAAGAAACCCCGTCGAGGTACAAAAAAATTTGAATTTTATATTAAAAAGCCAGCAGTAAGCCTGAAATTAGGGTCAGCTGAACTTTGGAATGTATTTTTGCAGGAAAGAGGACTGTGGATTTTGTCCCCCATCACTGAATCTCTTAAAAGCCAGTAAAGGATGAATGAACTAATGTTGATTGGCTTTTATTGTGTACATCTTCCTGCATTTTGTGTGTGTCTGTGATGTGTATTTTACAGCAGAGGAGGCATAGAGCCCAGCAGCTGTTGGCACAGGCCAGTAAGGCACTGGCTGAGGCCGTCAGCCTGTGTCTCCAACACAAGCTTCCTGCCTCCATCCTGGCTGATGCCTCTCTCAACATGTTGGAGTGTCATGGCCAGTCTGACCCTGCAGTGGCAGGTCAATACCTTGCCCTGTTTCAGGTATTGGATCATATGTCGTTTCTAAGCCTAAGTGTGGGGGCATTGTTTTAAGTATGCAGTGTTTGTATATGTATAGAAATGACATGCTAACGCTTATGATTATTGCTAATCATCAAGGCCTCATTTAAAAAGGTTGCTATGTACAATAAAAATGCCTAAACAGGGGTTTATAGAAACATTCTATGTGGGGGGGAAAAGGTACTTCTATGGATCCTTTCACCTTTGCTTAGAGCTCATGCAAAGTTTTTCAGACACAGGAATCAGCTACACCAGATAGTGAGACAACAAAATAAAGCTCAGTCCTCAGATGAAAAACACACACATCTCGCTGACTGGCACAAGGGCCATAAATGCTGCTTGGGCCTGGCTTACTGGCAACAGTGGCCGAGATGTGCGCGCTGGAGATGCTGCTGACGCCTGGCTCACAACCTGTGGTGCCCCCCTCACCACCAGCCACTGCCATATTTGTGTCTAAATAAAATGGAGAGCAACACTGTATGAATTTGCCTACAATGTAGACAGTTTTGCTTTGGTTTATAAAGTTGGCCTTACTGTGGCATCCATAGCTGCATCAGTGCCACCAGGGGCACCCGCACTCTGTCAATAAGCACCTTTACGGTGCTCAACCTCACTGCTGAGCACCTCGATCGCTCACCTTCTTTCATGTAGTCGACTTCTCTAGCTTTCATTTGTTGATAGTCCAGCAAAAGCTCCTTACGTATGTCAGTATAATTATGAGCATTAACCATTAATGGATGTTTGTGGAATGACATTGGGAGGAGTACACACACGCACAATTCTCAGGTGGGTATTCATAACAACAGGACTGCATACAGGTGCACGCCGCACTGTTTTATAGATCTGAAAATGTAGTTTGTGAGTACACAGTGTTTTAGGATGGAATCTACACTGAGTTTTATAAATGAGGCCCGAGGTTTCACTTTCAGTTAGAGATGTAAATCTCTAGGCACCTCACAAATCAATTCCCATTCAGAGGGCTACGATGTAATCACAAAATGAATATTGATGCATCTCGATGCATCAAAATGTTAGATTTTTCTCACTGAGTGATTTGTTACTATTAAAACAGCATATTTGAATTAGAATTATTTTTTGAAAAATGTAGGCTAAACATTCAACAGTGGCACATTGGCCATAATTCATTCTGTAAAAGTTCAGGCCCAAAATACTGGCATATATTCAGTAAGAAAAAACATCTGTAATGCTCCATCATAATCATCTGACCTATTGATAATTCCTCATCTGCAGTTTGCGCTCCTGACTTAACTGCACAAATGAAACCCCATTGTAGCAGGACTTAAGAACTTCGACCAAATGCTTTATGGTTTACCGTGTGCCATATATGTATTTGGTATTCTCTATAACATACAGTATACACTCTATAATATTACTTTGTCACTGTCCGAATCTACAGTGGGAGACTGCCTGAACACTGTGGGCAGAAGGACTCGCCTTCCAGTCTGTTTTTGCCTCGTTTGTAATGTACCACTTTTTTTTGCCCAGGGGATCTGCAATCTCAGGTTTATTAGCAGCCATCCTGAGAGCTCCGCCTCATAACATCATGAGAGCCAACAGCGGCCACAATTGACTTTTTGGAAATATTTAACAAGAGAGAATCGCGATGCATCTAAGAATTTATCAGTCATTTATCACTGTTGTGCCTATGCACATTGTAGAAAGTTCCACATGTAATACATTGTATGAAACATATGCTGCTGCTGACCTCACCATGCAGGTGACTATACTGTATACACAACACAGTATCTAGCATCTGTACCTACAAATCATCTTTGCTATATGATGGTATTCTTCAGGGTATCATCACCTACTAAAGTTCCTGCTATTACCAACAGCTCCTTCATCTATCTTCTGTTTTACTCCCAGAGCTGCTGCACTGTTGCTACGATGGCTGGGGTACTAAGTTCTGCGTGTGCAGGCACCAGTGTGTCCCAGCTCTCTGCTCTGCTCAACCTTCATAGGAAACTGCTCCTCTCTCAGGAGGAGAGACCCAGCAGCATGCTGAACAGAGTGGAGGACTCCCTCAATAGCCTCTCAAAGGTACCCCCGCCCTCACCCCCAACATGATTTATGAATACTGTCACACACCACCTGGTAAAGTCAGACTTCTTCTTAAAGGTTTTTATTTCAGCAACATGTACAGTAGCTGGTATGTCTGCTGTCTTGTGAACATAGTGCATCAAGAAGTTCCATGAAAACTGCCCAATAAAGGGCAAATGAGACTTTCAGAATATCATCACAGAACAGTATAATGTGTTGATATTGCCAATAAAAACAAAACTTGTTGCCTAATAATTGGTGGTGTAACAGGTTATCCGCTATATTATATAAAATGAGGTGTTGGAACACTTCTAATCAGTTTTAATAATTAAGGTATTGAATAGATCATCTACTATTGTTGTTTGAATGCATTGCAATTGCTCATCTTTTTTCAAAATCAAGGACCTAGTTTTGATTTTATCTGTTATGGGGACATTATTTGTCAGACGGCTACTATGCACAGTTGCATATTAGCCATAACTGTTCTGTTCTCTTTCATATACCCAGATATTTGCGCACATATACACACAAATAACTTGAAAAAATGTTACTTGTATTTACTTACATACCCAAATCTACACCTCATGTTCATGAACCCTTTAAATTGGAACGCAAAGAAATATTCCTGTTTCTCTTCATATCTGTTTAGCTTTTTTGTGCAACAAACTTTTAAGACCAGCATCCTAAAATTTTCTTGCTTTCTAAAATTATTTTATTCAGATAAAGAAAAAAAAAATTCCAAAGGCACTTTAAGTTTGTATAGTATACTGTTAAATTTGTGATCTTGAAAATACTTTCTGGTTTGCAGGCCTTCAACCACCTGACCATCCAACCCAGCCACCTAAATATCCTTGCAGAGCTTCCGCCCAACCTGAAGATCCTGCTGCTTCAGCACTCCAAAGATGGGTAATTTCTATTTCGTCCTTATGTTTTCTCTCACTATTTCTCTGTCTTTGCCATGCTGTAAAATGGCCTTATCTGCCTCTGTATAATGGTAGATGCGTAAATGGCTGTAGGTCACACTCGTCACATTAGGTTTAAGCTACAGTCATATCTGGAGCAGAAGGGGCCTGCTGTGTGGTACACCTGCCACTAGAGGGCTGATGGTTGAAATTCTGTACAGAGAGATGGAATACATCTATGTCGCTTCAAATTCAAGATAGTTAAAATAAGCATGTGAAGCAGTGCGTGCAATATACAGATAAAGCATACAAAGTGTCTGTTTGTTTGTTTGTTTTTAGGTCAGAACTTTATGGGGCCTTCCATGAGATGACCAAAGCTCCAAATCAAAAGGGAAAGACTCCACAAGTTACAGGTCAGGAGCTTGTACATTTTTTAAACCAGTGTTCAAAATACAAAGAGCTGTAAGTCTTCCTACTTGTGGAAGATATGCAGGACATTTCAAACAGAAGATTTACTGCTTTTATGTATCTTTATAATGCATCTCATTTGTTCCAAAGCCCTTGGGAATATGGTCTTCATCACACAAACGGTGCTGCATGTAGCAGAGTTGTCAGCATTTAAATGGAGCCAAATGAATTTGGTATTCCCATGTAACATTTATCTGCAAGGCAGATGAAAAGTTCACTTTTAATAAAGACAGTAAGAGAGGAAAAGATGACAAAGAGTAGAACAAATAAGCAGAATTTCCCTTTGACCTCTTTGCTACTGGCTTTCCTGGCACGGAACAGTAGCTTTCATAAGTCATCACAGGGTATTAGCATACTGTATTACCTTCTCACATGACCTTTCCTGGTACCAGTCTGGCAAAACATTGTGGATATTGTGGAAAAAAGAAATAGGCTGACATCTAGACTCATTGACAGTGAGGAAAAAAACAAGATGAGACAGAGGGGAGAGAGGGAGATCTTACAAAAGGGGGAGGGAATGGAGTTGCTCATGGGGACCAATTACAAAGCCTGTATGTTCCTGTGAGTACGCATGTCTGATTGTGTGTCTATTCTGTTGAAGCAGGTATCCTGACGTGCTCTAGGGTGGCCAAGGTTTTAGTCTGCCCGCGGACTCTGCTGGCCCTGAGGGAAAAGACTAGACATGCCCTCCTCAAGGAAGCTTGTTGGCACGGTGATAAGGGCAGAGTGGAGGCCTCTGTGGAGCATCAGACTTTCCCCCCTGTATGAGGCCTCTTCTCTTCTTTCACTCTATTAACATTATCCACTGCAAACCTAATAAATAAGCTCACTCCACTGCAATTATTTTCATCTCATGTCTCTTCTCGCTTATTCGGGATACTTGAAACAGCTGACTTCTACATTCAGGCATTGTGTTGCTGCATTAGATGAGTGTATGAAAGTAATCAGTGTCCTGAAACAATAAATACTGCATTACAGCTAATGACAATCACTTCTCTTTTTTTCTTGTTCCCCTATACAGAAAAATGCCACAGAAGAAATGTTAGCACCTCTCTTCAGAGAAATTGTACAAGATATGGAAGACTATTTGAATCCACTCCTCACACAGTTTGACTTCTCTTGCTTAAGGTGATGTACTGTATATGTGATCAGATTCCACAATTTGTCCACTGCAAAGGCTTGACAGATGTTTAGTTTTCTTAGCCTAAGGAAGGAAACTTTGCTATTTTGAAATTAAGATTTTATCGCAGTGGCAGGTACAGATGTCCACTGTGAGAGAAGTCTTTTCAAGTGTGTGTTCAACACAAAGTGACCCTGGTTTGTGTTAGTATTGACTGATCAGGTTTGTTCCTCTGTCTGTTCATGCAACAAGGTTACACAAAGCAAGTGCAGCATGTCTGTAATTTTTACACTTTGTCACATCTTTCACCATCTGGTTTTATCTTATAAGTAATGCAGCCCTATTGATCCTCACCTGTCCTTACCTCCCTCAGGCCCCAGGCTGCATCCCTGCAAGACATGACCAAAACCAAAGATAAAGAAGAGAAAGGTAGAGCATGTTGGGTGTGAGCTTGCTTGTCTGTCACACCGTAAGGGCCTTGTGGTTATCTTTTAAGTCTATTGTATCAACACACATCTGCTGTCATTTCTGTGTGTATATTGGCGCCCCATCAGCAGGTTTTTATTAAAGCAGACTGCAGCTCTTCCCACTCGGGCCAATGTTGTTCCTGTATATGTGATTTAATGTCATACATTGATTTACACACAACATGTACAAGCAGCAGTGAGGGTTATAGAGCCACTAAACTGTTTTCAAAAGAGTGATTGTTCCAACTTGTTAAAAGAGTTATACTGTCATAACTATATGAGAAAATGTTTGTACAGAACCAGGGGAGTATGTGGTGTTGCTGGCAGACACGAAGTTGCTAGAGTTGCCACTGGAAGCCTTGACCATCCTGCAGGAGAAAGGTCTGAGTTCTGTGTCACGAGACTTCTCTCTCCAGCTTCTGCACAGTCGCCTGAACAGAGAAGAACCAGAGAAAGGTACCAGACACACGCATGTAGAACTTGTAAACATTAAGAACAGCATAGAGCAGTTAGTATAGTAAACTATATCAAACTGAACCATGGTTCCGTTCATTTCTGGTGTGAAAGCATTTTTTGATGGTTCGGACCACTATAGAAGCACACTGCCACCCATCTCTTTGGTCTCTCCTCAAACAGAGGTGCAGAAGGATTGCTTGCTGTCTTCTCCTCCTTTTCTGTTGGCGACGTTATAATGTTGACACAACGAGGACATTTAATTGCGAATTTGAACTAGCCTTCAGTATAGTTAGTGCTGCAGGTAGTAATGCCATAATAATAACAATATAGTGGGAAATATGCATATGTACATTTTTTTATTCATTCATTCTTGTCAAAGATAGCCGGTGAACTGTTTAATAAACCAATCAATCTCAAGTACAGGGAGACGCAGCCCACATAGAGGATGACGACAGGACGCAAGTATGTCATGTAAAGTCTTTATTGCGGTTGCAGATTTGCCGAACCAAAACTAACCGAATGTATCAAAATCTATCAAAACATGAACTTTGGTTCGGACCTTGGTGCGGATTTCTGCCACTCTTGGTTTTTTCATATAATTTTATGGTTCTATCTATCGAAACATTATTAACAACGTTTTGACCGTCTGTTATACATGGCTTGACAATAAGCGACCACACAGAGGTGCACAGAGACTCACATGCCTGCCCATATGCATGCATATGAGCACTGAAATACAACACAGATATTCTGTGAAATCTAGTTATTAGCCTAAACAAAAGGCATGACTAATGTAGTGCTTTTTATAACACAGCTATTATTGGAAACCTGTTAGATTATGGAAGTGCAAATGACATGACTGGCTGGCAGCCACATCATTTCAGACAGATCTAAAACCACTTGGAGAGGTCAGCATTCATTCACGCTGTTATTACTGCCTTAATTAAACAGGCAACCTCTTTAAAGTGTTAAAAAAACTTTTTAAGACTGGTTAATCAAGATATTTAATCACCCAATTCATCTAATTTCCTTTGTTAATTTCTACAAAACAGCCTGTTGTCTCTGTTGGAGACTAAAATGTATACTTATGCATAATTCAATGAAAGGAACGTGTATGCCCTATGAGGCATGGTCCTAATGATGACATGCAGGATAAGGTAAGACACATGCTTTATTAGAGTTTTATCACTAACTTGCTCACTTTTATTTTGTTGGTGGTATTAAGTGATATTACAGTAAGTAGCAATAAATATGATTCAAATATGATTTGAATGAATGAATTCAAAGTAGGTTTCTGCTCTATATTACACTATATTATTATATTGTGACATAGATATAGATGATGTAGGTGACAGGTAACATTAAAGAAACAAAAAGATAAGACCTATTTTAAATTATTTTTAAATGGTGCTCACCAGAGAGTCATAGATACTGTATTATTCAACAGCTTTCTTGATGGGAGAAATAAGATTATGTGGTAGAACTGCTTATGTATGAAACTGTTGAGTGGGATTTGAGGGAAAGTGGATGTTTGCCTCACATCATTCCCCATTATATTTTAGTAAATAAAGCCTTACACATGCAAAAGCATCTTGGCACCTGGATTTAGACTGCAGGCAGCCATCCATAGAAATGGAATTTTTTCAAAAGAGAAAGGTCATTTCACATCCTGCTGGCATGCAGAAGTTCATGCGGACATCCGTGAACACCACTGCCTGCTTTGCTAAGTGGATCTCCATTAACTGTGGCCATTTTGCTGTGCCTGCTATAGCAGTTTACACTCAGAACTGAAGGTTTGATTGTCCAGGGGTAACATATCTAGGTGGTGGCCAAGAGCAATTCAAAAAATCAAGCTTTAAGTTGAAATGGCAGCACTTGTTAAAGCTGTTAGCGTAAAGTAAAGTGTGTAGAATCACATTATTGGCTCTGCTAAAATTCTGGTGTTGGATACACATTTTGTTAGGTAGACACTATGGGAACGCCTCTGGGTGTGGCAGGGCTGAATCATGAATGAAACTACTCCAATCCTATTGGCGTTGCTAGAACGGTAGCGTGTGACGGCGTAACTGGAGGCGTATATAAGCACGCCGGCACACCAGACACATTAGCTCTTTGCTATGAAGCAAGGCACTCCAGGCGGGGTGAGGTGTGGCGGACTGATGCAGTTCGAGTTCCCTTGAAGGGGAACGAGACACTGTGTCGGTCGTGACGACACTATGTGACGACCGTATGTGTCCTGGAGGAACTCCAGTACCATAGTCACCAGGCAGGTAACTGGGTCCACCGCCCGTTCTCTACACCAGGTGGCAAACGTATTCTACTTCAGGCCGTACATCCTTCTCGTGGACGGAGCTCTGGAGCTGAGCAGCGTCTCGACTGTTCCCGCCATCAGGCCCACCTCAAGGAACTGGGCCCCCTCAGGGGCCAGACCCACAGTCTCCACAGGGCGGGGCAAGGGTGAAAGACCTGGCCCTCCGCCTGAGACAGCAGGTCCCTCATAGGAGGGTGGAGTCTCCATTCCCTGGGCCTCAGCCCCTGTCTCGACAGCAGGTCTGCTCCCTGATTCTGGGTCCCAGAGATATACATCGCTCTGAGAGACAGGAGTCTCTGCTGGGACCGCAGGAGGATCTGATGCGGCAGTTTGCATAACGGGCTTGGTGGCAAATAGGCCACCACTGCCGTATTGTCGGTCCTGACAAGGACTTGGCGACCGCGGAGAGCGGGCAGAAAACTCTTCAGAGCTCTGAATACCGCCAACATTTCCAGGCAATTTATGTGCCAAGAGAAATGATGCTCCTGCCAGGAGCATCTCGCAAAGCGGCCGTCCATGACCGCGCCCCACCACGTGAGTGAGGCGTCTGTCGAAATAATTGTCCGGCGACATGACGCTCCCAACACAGGACCCTGGGACAGGAACCAAGGTTTCCTCCATACTGACAGGGAACGAAGGCACCTGCTCATAACCCGTATCAGATGGAACGGATTTCCCCTGGATTTTAACCACCACTGCAGGGCTCTCATGTGCAGCAGGCCAGACAGGATTACGCTGGACGCTGCCACCATGAGACCCAACACCCTCTGAAAGTGTTTCACAGTGATGGTGCAACCTAGCTTCACTCTGGTCACTGTGGACAAAATGGACCTGACGCGTGCAGGAGACAGGTGGGCCCGCATCGTCGTTGAGTCCCACACCACCCCTAGGAACGTAGTCCGTTGGGCGGGCGTCAGCACGTTGAGCCTCATCGGGGCAAGAGCTGCATCCATGCACTTGGTGAACGTGCAAGGGGAGAGTGCTAGGCCGAATGGAAGAACCCGATACTGGTACGCTGCGCCCCCGAAGGCGAACCTCAGGAACTTCCTGTGAGAGGGACGGATGGAGATGTGGAAATATAATCTATCGTGACAAACCAATCCTCCAATCGAGCTGGAGCTTGGCCACTGCCCGTGTCACCACCTCCAAGAGCTCGTCATAGCTGGGCGCTGACTGATGATGTTGGTCCGGCTCCCGGAAGTCTTCCTCCTCCATAATGCTGAGCACATCGAGTTCCTCAGAACCGGACAGACGCAGCCTCTCCGGGCTCACACCTCAAGCGGGAGAAGCCGAGAAGCCGGCTCCCGAACGGGGAAGAGGGGAGTCGGAGCCAGCAGACGATGAATGGGAAAAAGCCTCGCCATTCCCGATGCCCTCGGAGATGTCGCACTGGGAGCCCCATGACCGAAGCCCCCTCGAGAGCTGCCTGGGCATGCGGCATCCCCAGACAAGACACACACAGTGTCCCCAGCCGTGATGTAGCGCGGGCATGGGAAAACACACTGCCTGAACTGCTCACCAGCCATCTCCTCTGCCAGACTTCCTTCCAGGTAAGAAATTTCCTCTTGTGGTTGTACTTCTTTCGTAGTCTCAAACATGCCAGAGTGCCTGCTGAATAGAAAATAGCTAATGTGTCTGGTATGCCGGCGTGCTTATATACGCCTCCAGTTACACCGTCACACGCTACCGTTCTAGCAACGCCAATAGGATTGGAGTAGTTTCATTCATGATTCAGTCCTGCCACGCCCAGAGGCGTTCCCATAGCAGTTCGAGTTCACTCGAAAGGGAACAAACCTTCACCAGAATTCACAGCGAAGTAAAAATCTGTTTAGTACTAACCGGGTGCATCATCAAGTGCAGCATCAACTGTTTTTAGCTGAAAGTACTATTGTGTCACACAAATTTGAATAGCCACATTGCTCAACATCTATTGTTAAGATGATATATTTGCTTTACAGCCACATTCTGTTAAGAATATCGTTCTTTCGGTGTAATTTCTGCCTGACTGTGTCATTATCATCCTCAAAAGTGTGATTGGAACACAGGGCAGGTAGCAATAAGTACAGTATGTCATTAGAGAGGACTTCTTAGCATCAACATGTAAACTCAATACATTTCACAACTATTTTAATTTACTTGGTCTAAAAATAAATCTGATTAGCCACTATAGTTGCAAAACTGTACTTAACTACATAGGTTAAGCCAGTATAACTATTCAGCAGCTAACTGCATTTTCTGCCCATTTTTCTCTCCACTGTTATTGTATATTGCAGTAATTGCTTACTGTAAGCTATGGAGGACAGTGTTTTGTTGGAGCAGGAAACAAAGAACATTTTGATGTGTGAAAATTGAATCTGATTAAAAATTATTTTAAAAGAATACGCTCAAGAAGTATTTTTCAAGTAAAGCCAGAAAAAAAAATTAAAAAGATGGGGCTCATTTTAATTAATATTATCCAATGCATTGTGTCCTTCTCCAGTCTCTCAGGAAGTCTACAATGAGTGTAAAATCCCAAGAAGAAAAAAATACAGTTGTTTTTTGGCAATGATGCTTTAATCCTTGGGGGTATTCTGCGCATTAATATTTTGAAAAGAAATGAAAAAGCAGTAGAAAAAGCACTGAATCTAATGCTGCAGACATCTTTACCTTTTTAAAGGTTGAGTCATTTGCATAACTTGAATGAATGTTCAAAGGTTACTGTTAAACTAGTGTATATGTGTCTGTCACTTGACACTTGCATATGCCACAGGCAACGACATGTATTTCCTAAAACATCTTTCAATGCCCGGATTAAATATATGGGTGATGACGACACTGGGAAAAGGTTTTTGTGTTTTTTTTTCTCGGCCACCATTAGCATAATTTTGACATCTACAGTTTACCATTGTGTCAAGAAGATATAGTGCCTGAAACCGCTTTTGAAAGGGCTATTTGTTATTCTGTGCAGTGATTTCATTAGGTATGCACAGGACAAATTAGCACAAACTGCCTTCAGGTGGGTCATGTTTGCCTTTGTATGAATGTCTGTTCTTACTATCTCACACAGAGTCTGAGTTATTGAGTGAAGTAACAAAAATTTCTACACAGACGTCATGAAAGATTTGCCATTTGCTGACCTGTAGGAAGTACAGTGATTCACAGTTTTACATCTTAGCAGTGATTTGTAGAAATAAGAAAAACTAGTAGTTTTAGTTATAGCATGAGCAGAGAGAGCCACTGTGAAGTGTGATGGCTTGTCTAGCTGTAGTGGCAAGAAAATACTGTCAGCTATAGAAACTCAAGCAGCCTGACAACAGACATTAAAGGTATTTAAGCAGTAAATTAATATCACTTGGTTAAGTCCCCTTGGTTAAGTCCCTTAATACCAGGGACTTAACCAAGTTGTAAAATAAATCAGTTACTATGACTTATTTAAAAACGAAGTAAAGTGTTTGGGGTGGTCCAGTACATTTCCCTTTGAACCAAAGTGTTGGAGTGATGGACCAACAGATGGACTCCTCTTCTGCAGTCCCGCCCATAGACTGTATATAAGAAGTGGACATAGTCATCGTGACGTCACCTGTTGGTTTGTGGACTGCCGTTTTTAAGCCTCGAGTTTAGCCGATATGGGGGGCCGCCATGTTGTGTTTTTTTCCAACCAGCGGCACCGGACGTGACCATATTTGAATGAGACGGTAGAGCTAACGGCCGTGTGTGGAGCTAGCTGGCTTGCTTAGCTAGTGCGTCTGTAATTCAGGTTAATTCATGACAGTTTTGTCTAGCTAACAAGTCTTTAAAACTAATGTACTCACCAGAGAAAGTGAACAGCCAACTACTAATAAGCTTTTTCAACGGCGCCCTGAAGTGTACTCTGCTTTATGGTCTATTTTCCTCTAAATGGGAGCAAAATTTACTAAATGAACATCATGTTTTTGAATCATGTATTGAAGAAGACTTGAAACTAGCGATTGAGACCATAAACTCATTAGGAAAGTGTTTACTGAGGTAATAAGTCAGGTGAGAAGCAGGTTCATTTTACCATTATTTCTAATGGAACTGGACTTATTTTTGCAACCAGAAGAGAACCAAAGAGGTTTAAGGGACTTCAGCGTTCGTATCAGTTCGCTGACCGGAAGCCTGGCTTAAAATACATTTTTAAAAATCACAAAGATGAATTCTTCAGTGTGTCTGCAAGTAGGTGTTGACCCAAACCCATTTATTTATTTTATAAGAAATGTGGGTTTGAATCAAATTAAACTGATATTAATTTCATGATAGATGCTGAGGAAACTTTTAGAACAGTTCTTCAGTCACCAAAAAATGTTGTTGACCTTGCAGATACTGAGATTTTTTTCCCCCAGTCCAAATGCCGTGTAATCTACCCCGCAGACAAGTATATGTATTAATTCAACTTTCTGTTTGTGGCAGTTGAAAGTGACAACAAAAAGGAGACCAAAGGTGGCAGGGGAACTAAGGGGAAGGGAGATCAAAGCCAAGCCATCAAAGTGGTGAGTTCAGTAAATTAATCTGGGCCTGCCAGACACAGACAGCAATATTACTTTTACCTGCTGTCAGCACTGGCAATTATTTAAGTTCCTCTCGCCTCCCTTTTAAGTGGGATTTTTCAATCAATTACATAATGTGTTTTCATAAAGATGCTATTTCTAGCTTCTGAGCATTTATCTTCTGTCATGCACCACTTCGGTGTTTTTCAACTGCTTCCTTTTTGCTTATATTTCTTTTGCTCTGTCCCCTCTGTCTTAAACTCCTCTCTCATATTCTCCTTTGCAACTGGTATTTGCTAATTTATATGTGCTACAGACAATATTTGCATGTGTTTATGAGTGTGACTGTCCTTTGTTTAAGTTGTAATAACTTAGTTTTTTTATTTACCCAGGTACCAGTGAATTGTGTGTTGCCTTCTAACACCTTCCCAGTGGACACACGTAACTTCAAATGTATCTTTTATATCTATTTCTGTTTGGCTGATTTATTTCTCTTCTTGGAATATAGTTGCACTCTTTTCATAGATCATTATTCTTAACATAGCTGCACAGATATTGTTGACCCTCATAATGAAGGCAACTTTGGTAAGTAAATGTAATTGATAAGTCAATTTATGGAGAAAAAACCTTATATTCTATGTTTATACAATTAATAAACTAGTACATTGGAGTTAGCTGTTAGACTGAAAATGTATGGCAGACAAAGTGCTTCTTAAGGATCAAGCTACTTTTATTTTAGGTTCTGTATGGGTAGTTTTTTCAAGTACAGGAGTATTTTTAAGACTCAAGAAGCCAAGACTGTTCTCTTTATGCAGCCGGGCATTGCCACAGCTTGCTCTGCATGTCCTCTTCTCAGCTCTTTTTGCTACTTTTGTGGCCTTGTATGAGTCACATTTCAGCTCCCAGTTAATGTCTTAGCAAGTACAACGTTTCAAAATATGTCTGTCTTTGTCAATGTGGCACAGAAGGGACCAGTCTGGGCATGAGGATTAAGGAGCTTTTGGAAACCCACAACCAGCATTTTACCCATCTGTGGGAGGGCTTCGTGGGCAGCAATAAAATGCCCAGGTTAGAACCTTTAAGCAGAGCAAAGCAATGCAATGCAGCATGTCTTTGTTTGGACTTTGCACTGAGCATACTGAGAACCAGCTGTATTTGTTACATTGCAACAGACATGATCGTTTCTACGCCGTTAACCCTTGTTCAATATGTATCAAGTCTGTCAGAGATGGAGCAGCTGCTGTGCAGGTGCAGTGCCTTCATTTACCTGGGGATGGAGCGCTTCATGGCAAACATTCCACCTGCCAAACTAGCAGCCCTCAATCTGTCTGGTACTGTACACCTATACACTGATTTTCCCTCTATGGTTTTTTAATAGGACTGTTGTGCCTGGCTTCTTCAGGAGCATTACAAAGAAGGATTAGTCCACACAGTAACCATTCAAGTAATTAAAGATTACGCAATATGAGCAAACTGTGGTGTGTGAAGTCAGCACTCCATGTCATCAATTGCTTTGAGCATCTGGTGTCCTAGTAATGTACCAGATTTTATAAAATCACACAGCATTGTGTTGTTTTCTAAAGCATTTTAAATAAATAAGGAAGAAAAATTGATGAATGATTGAAATTTGGAGCAACGCTGTTGGTGGATTATGTAAGCAGTAAATGGAGCCTAATCTCTTCAAACACATCAATCTTTCATTCCCTGAGTGGGTATATATATAGAAATAGCCCTGTTCTGTAATGAGAAATCCATGATGTTTTACTATCGGATCCCTGCAATAACATTTCCATGACTTCTCTAGGTGCCTGGAAAAATTATTTAACTGAGAAAGTCTAATGAGGATCACTGAGTAATACTGTATTCATTTTGGTCATTCAATCCTACCAAATTATGGCAGTGGTTTTCAAAGTGGGGTCCAGAGACCCCCAGGAGTCCTTGAATAGGGTTCCAGGGGGTCCCCAGCAAATCAGGGAATTATTATTTTTCACTATAACTTAATTAGTAACACAATGATAGAATGTATGACTATTTTGGTCATGGTTTTCATACACTTTACTAAAAATCTTCAAAATCAGATGGGCGATCCTGGGACAAAAGCTTATCAAATGGGTTTGCATGGTCGGTCTAATTTATGCCAGTTACGGGGTCCTTGTTGTGAAAAAGTTTGAGAAGATATATGTCATAGTCAAAAGATAATGCATCTGGGGACATAAGTATTTTGAGACAGATTTTTGCTGCTTCATTTCAACCTAAAGCCGTCTCAGTTGATAAATAAAATAATAAAAAATATATAGTTTCAGTCTAGTCTCTTTGATAAACTTAAACTCCAACTTAAACTAAACCTTTGATTTTTGGCCAAATCCTTTGCTGGTTTGAATAGATTTCTGCGCACTAATTTAGTCCTCATGAAGTCTGTTGAGATTAGGGGCCAATCTGCTGGGTCATTTGTTGGAGCAGCAATTGTTCCATTAGTGTCTGAGCTGCTTGTATCTGATGCTAGCTGTACATCTCTGGCTGTGCTCCTACTGGCTGAGGCTGCCGGTACTTCACCTTTACCCTATGACTTGGCTGAATATGTGATGCTTAGTATTTACTGAGATGTGCATCCATATTGCCCAGTGTGCCCGCTAATCAGCATATTAATATTTATTGTTAATCCATTGCTTTCCATCTTGCATTAGTCCAGAGTTGTAATTAAACCTTGATTGAGAGACAGATAATCACTGTCTTGTTTTAAAATAATGTGTGCCTATGAGGAGTGCCCTCAAATCCATTTCTGGACTGGTCCTACAGATGTTTCTTGCTAGAATGCACAAGTTTAATTTTGTGCATGCACATATAAACGAATTTCCACGTGCAACGCGGTTATCTTTTCCAAGCTACAGTTTACAAATTCCATGGCCAGTCAGCGTTTATCAAACGTAATACATTGTTGTATTTCACTCGTAACATTCAGTCACAGTCTGCAACCAAAACACAGACAAAAGATGTACTGCCCAGCTGGGTTAGCAGAACAGACAGACTAGCAAGAGTCTCTGAAAATGCACATTAACCTAACAGTAGAGAACACAAGTTTACCTGACTGCTGTTCCCGCTGTTCACTCTCATTGAGTTTTTCTCTCTTCTCGTGCCCACAAGGATGGTTTCCTCTTCATCCTCTCATCAAAGTTAAAAAGGAAACATTAACACTCACTTTCACCTTTGACATGAGAGTGAGACAGGGCCCTCCAGCTCTGCGCGAGAGGGACTTGATTACTATCACTGCTAATGCCAACATTATCAGTTTTACATTTGTTTTGCTCCACTCAAGGTATGGCGTTTATTTAAGTTGTGAGCGTGTTAAACATGCTCATGAACAAATTATGTTACTCCACAGGCCCAAACTTTAACCTTCCCGCGCGTATGATAAAGTACTCACACACAAATTCAACAACCGAGAGTTGTACAGGTAGCTGCGAGTGAGCGCCTGGCATACTCTCAAAGGATAACTCTTGCACAGTGGAATCCTGCTCGCGCGCAGTGGGCTTCTGCTCGCGGAGTGGTGTTTAGGTCACGCAGTGGATTTCTGCTCACTCAGCTGATTTCTGCTTGCTGGAGTCTACATGACTTTAGACAATTTGGGGGCGGAAAACAAGGAGGACACTGACCGTCTTATGATTGGTCACTTTCAACATGATCACAACCAGAGCTGTTAAATAAGATTCTCGCCGCCACGCGATCACGTGCTCCATGCAGCTCTCAGTAGTTCCAACCAATCCGCGCTGTCAACCACTGAATGGTTTCAGGTGGGACAGACACCAGCAGCGACTATATTTGCAGCAGTTTTCGGATAAATATTAAGGCATAATGTGACACTTCCCTGTCTTTTTTTTGTAATTTACGATTACAGTCCGATGTTCTTTGGTCAAATCTCCTTTTGCACGCTGCCGTCGTGTAATTAACAGTCAAACCCCGGCACAGTTCTCTGCTGCTTTCAAAGACTCTGTGCTCTATAACTTGGATGGAGGTGATGCTACTGGTGCTGATGAACTTGTCACTGTTTTTAATTCAAACATCTTGGACTCTGTAGCTCCTTTGAGGATGAAACGCACTAAAGCGCTTTCAGAGCCCTGGTTAAATGACACCACCCGAGCGATCAGACGTGCATGTCGGCAAGCTGAGAGAAGGTGGAAGAAAGATAAACTCAGAGTGTCATATGAAATCCTACAGCAATATCTCTCTGACTATCAGAGAGCTGTAAAATCTGCAAAATCTGATTTTATTTCTAAGCTGGTTGCCAACAACTGTAACAGGCCACAGGTTCATTTTAACATGTTATTAACACCATTACAAATCCCCGAAACTCTGCTCCTATTACACCTACACTGGACCTCTGTGATTCTTTCCTAAAATTCTTTGTTGAGAAGATTTTTGCTGTTCGATCTTCTGTAACCACATCCTCTGACCATGATCCCTCTGCTCCTCCTATGTGCCTTGCGGTCCTAGATCAGTTTGAGCCCATCTCCTCCCTATCTGAGGTGGTCCATCATCTGCGACCCACAAATTGTCCCTCAGACAGCATTCCCTCTCGTTTGATTAGAGAAGCCTTTGATACCGTTGGACCATGTATTTTGTCATTGATAAATACTTGTCTTGTCTCTGGTCATGTTCCGTCCACCTTTAAACACGCTGTTGTACAGCCCCTGCTAAAAAAGGAAAATCTCGACCCCTCTGTTCTCTCTAACTTCAGGCCCATCTCTAAACTGTCTTTCTTATGTAAAGTCCTGGAGAAAGTAGTTTTTACCCAGCTGCAAACATTTTTTATTAATAATAAGTTCCAGTCTGGCTTTTAAACCCTGTCACAGCACTGAAACGGCACTTTTAAGAGTTTTTAATGACTTGATTTTAACTGTTGACTCAGGAGTCTCTGCCGTCCTAGTGCTCTTAGACCTCACTGCTGCCTTTGACACTGTTGACCACTCAATCCTCTTTTCACGGTTGGAAAATTGTGTGGGAATCGAAGGTACTGCACTTAGGTGGTTTCAATCCTATCTAACAGATAGGAGCTTCTCTGTCCACCTCAGTGATTATTCCTCTGAGACAGCCCCATTAACCTGCGGTGTCCCTCAAGGTTCTGTCTTAGGCCCCATCTTATTTTCTTTGTATATGCTGCCCCTGGCCTCCATTTTTGAGAGGTATGAGGTCTCTTTCCACTGTTTTGCAGATGATATTCAAATTTATTTGCCCCTGAATGTAAAAGCAAAGGGCTCACTGTGTCATGATGGGTGGTGTGGAGGCAGGTTGTGGAACCCAAATGCAGGACTCGAAGCTGGCAGGTACAGTTCAGTGATTTATTTAAACAACTAAAGGCGAGCACACTTACAGGTTGAGTGACTGATACAGAGTCCAAAACAAAGGTTGTCCAAACCGAAATCCAAATGGTGCAGGGAAACAGGGAAACAGGGAGACACGACGACAGGGCAGACGACAGGGCAGACGACAGGGCAGACGACAGGGCAGACGACAGGGCAGACGACAGGGCAGACGACAGGGCAGACGACAGGGCAGACGACAGGGCAGACGACAAGCGATCACACAGCAACTCAGGGAGACAGCATACAATGACCCGACAAAGACAAGACAGAAACACCAGGTATATATACACAGGGATAACGAGCAGGGCGGGAGCAACACAGGTGACAGAGATCAGGGTTAACGAGGCACAGGCAGGGAGAGAGAGAGCAGGGAAAACAGAGATAGACATGCAGAGGGATCACTGGGGTAACAGACAAGACAAAGGTTACTGAACACTAGACAAGCAGACATGGGGCAGAGAGAACCAACAAGAAGACACACACACACACACACACACACACACACACACACACACACACACACACACACACACACACACACACACACACACACACACACACACGTTACCAAGAACCAGAACCTGAACAAGAACACAGAGTACAGAAGAGACTAAACCAAAATAGTACACACTAGAACCTAGAGCAAAGACCAGAACTAAGGACATGGAACAAAAACCCAGACTTCAAAAATAACAGATAATAAAGCCGACTAAACACAAAAGGTACAAAACAAGACATGGCAGACAGGATCGTGACACACTGCAGCCCCTGCTTGACTGTATGAAGGACATCAAAACGTGGATGAACCTAAACTTCCTCAACCTAAACGGAGACAAGACAGAGATCATAGTGTTTGGACACCCTGAACTGCTTGATGTAGATTCTCTCGGCCCTTTAACTTCAAACAGCCGCTCAACTGTGAGGAGTCTTGGTGTTGTATTGGATAGTGCATTTAAATTTGATAAACAGATATC